TGTGTTAGTAAGTGCTGTGGCTGGTGTGGAAGAGGGATATGAGAGAGACCAGAGAGAAAGAGAGCAGAGAGAGGGAGAGTGTAGAGAGAGAGAGCAGAGAAAGAGTAGAGAGGGAGAGAGAGAGAGCAGAGAGAGAGCAGAGAAAGAGAGAGCAGAGAAAGAGAGAGCAGAGAGAGAGAGAGCAGAGAGAGAGAGTAGAGAGGGAGAGCAAGCAGAGAGCAGAGAGAGAGAGAGAAAGAGCAGAGAGGGAGAGCAAGCAGAGGAGAGAGAGAGAGAGAGGGAGCAGAGAGAGAGTAGAGAGGGAGAGAGCAGAGAGAGAGCGCAGATAAAGAGAGAGCAGAGAGAGAGAGCAGAGAGAGAGAGTAGAGAGGGAGAGCAAGCAGAGAGCAGAGAGAGAGAGAAAGAGCAGAGAGGGAGAGCAGCAGAGGAGAGAGAGAGAGAGAGGGAGCAGAGAGAGAGTAGAGAGGAGAGAGAGAGAGAGAGCGCAGATAAAGAGAGAGCAGAGAGAGAGAGAGAGAGAGAGAGTAGAGAGGGAGAGCAAGCAGAGAGCAGAGAGAGAGAGAAAGAGCAGAGAGGGAGAGCAAGCAGAGGAGAGAGAGAGAGAGAGGGAGCAGAGAGAGAGTAGAGAGGGAGAGAGCAGAGAGAGAGCGCAGATAAAGAGAGAGCATAGAGAGAGTAGAGAGGGAGAGAGAGAGAGTAGAGAGGGAGAGCAAGCAGAGAGAGCAGAAAGAGAGTTGAGAGAGAAGAGAAAGAGAGCAGAGAGGGAGAGCAAGCAGAGAGAGATCGAGAGAGCAGAGAGAGAGCAAGCAGAGAGAGAGAGAGAGTAGAGAGAGAGAAGAGAAAGAGCGAGAAAGAGCAGACAGGGAGAGCAAGCAGAGGAGAGAGAGAGAGAGAGAGAGAGGGAGCAGAGACTAGAGGGAGGACCAGAGAGAGATCAGAGAGAAATAAACAGATAGAGGGAGACTAGAGAGACCAAAAAGCGAGAGACTTCTACTACAATCACATCCACTGCTAACCTAACCTAACCAAATATCACTTTCTGAAACTCCCTTCACAGATCATCTACGACCACAGACCTTTTCTCTGCACTTTTCTAAACAAATCCACACTTTTACCACTTTATATTTACCTGTGTGAGTTCAGCCTCCTCTCGTGTTTTAAGACATGACTCACTTCATCTGCTGAATAACAATCAAATCTTATTAAATCCTCGATCCTGGTGAACGGAGCGGTCAGAAGAATGTCCACGCTCACAGTTAATTATGTGGAGCATTGATTTCCCGCAGGATCAGCTTCAGGCGACACGCTAAAGCCTTTATCATATGTGATTTATTACATACACATACACACACACATGCACACATACACATACAGTACACACACACACACAAACACACCTTTTTCATTGCAATAAATCTCACTGCACTCCACTAACTAAAACTATCCTTTATTAAGCAAAGTCATTATCATCAAAGTGTATTATATATAAGTCTCTCTCTGGTGTCTCTGGTCTCTCTCTCTGGTCTCTCGCTTTGGTCTCTGTCTCTCTAGTCTCTCTCTGGTCTCTCTTGGGTCTCTCTCTGGTCTCTCTTGGGTCTCTCTCTGGTCTCTCTCTCTGCTCTGTCTCTGGTCTCTATCTCTGGTCTCTCTCTCTGCTCTCTCTGGATTGACGATGCACCTTCCTTAATCCCGTCCCCTCTCCCCCCACCTCCCTAATCTGCTTGATCAATTCATCCTGGCCGCGGTCGCCCGGCAACGGCCAATCGCTTGACTTCTCCGGCATCTCATCTCGGGCCTCTCAAAACCAATCTGGGAACAAGCTATTCAGAAATCTTGAGACCGGAGATAAACTGGCTGCAGATGAGGACGAGAATAGAACGGCCTCAACAAAAATGCCTTGGTTCAAAGTCACTAATTATAACAGGTCATGTTTTCAAATTATTATGATAAACGATAATATTGAAGGTGTTCTAACAGTAGGACAGAATTCTGAAACTACTTGTACTCCCAGAGCTGTCATTTTGACTGCTCGCATTCAAACCAGTGGAATTTCTGAAAAGTTACATATTTAAAAATACCTCGTCTATAATGTTTTTTTTTACCCTTTACTCACTTTTAATACGTGCTAAGACTGGTGAAAATAAGTTAAACCAGAGCCAATTTGTTTGTTGAAATGCTAATGCTAAATGCTAATGCTAATGCTAAATGCTAATGCTAATGCTAATGCTAAAGGCTAGTGCTAACTGCTGAAAGAGTGTGTTGCCCCGGTAACAGCTCTGGGAGGTAAAATTATAATTCCTGACGGTAAAAAAAAAGAAGAGATTTAATTGACACGTACATAGACACAAACTTTATATTGATACAGAAACAGTCACAAACGTAGGAAGATCAAAAACGTACACACAAGTTACACTTCCAAACCTAAAAACCGTCAAATTGACTGATCAAAACACTCCAATCTATGTTGCCAGTAACATTTCTACTCAAAGCGATCGTCTCTCTGCTATTCACATAAACACACCATGGATGAGGAATGTCTGCGCCATCAGCTCTGGAGCAGTTTCCACATCAAATTATTGGTGCATTTATGTTTTATTTTGTTAACAAAGAATGTTTGTTATTAAAATCAAAACATCCAAATCCATATAGCCACAGGGTTTATGTATGAAAAGCTTCTCATAATCAAAAAGTAGCCAATTTCTGTTTTCATGCAGTCCTCATATTCAGACGGTGTTTTGTAGGATGTGTGTGCGTGTGTTGTGTGTGTGCGTGTGTGTGTGTGTACATGTGTGTATGTGTGCGCGGCTGCTGTTTTGTGGAAGAGATAAAGTCCAGGGTTTTGAACGAGAGAGACGAGTCCGACTTTTTCCATAGTTTGCAACAGTTCAGGACGGTAATTTTTGGCTGAATATGAGAAATAATGTGTATATTGTAAATAGCAGACTTTATATAGTCATTTAAAGTAAAATAAAATCAATTATTTTTCATTTTTTGCTACACAAAATGACAAAAACAATAAGCAGCAAAAATAGCAAAAATAAATAACAATAGACAGTTGAATAGAGGTCGAATGAAGCACACACACATGCACACACAAACATGTTTCTTGGAACTTTTTGGCCTGTCTGTATTCATTTATTTGATTATTTTTCATTATATTTTTTACATTTCAAATAACTAGTCTTGTCACACACAGAAGACTAGGAGCAGAAAGATTAAACACAAATCTTCATTTATTCATCTTTGAAGTCAGCTTTTGGAATTATCACTTTGACTGTATCAAGCTTTATCAGCTGTAGGAGACTTGTTTATTGTCTAAAATGTGAAATTGTTGCATATTTATTCATCCTTAAAGTGATAGTCTGTAACTCTAAATGAATTTCAAATTTTAGGAATTGTATTAAATTGACCTCCTGGTCTTAAATGTTGATAAAAAAGAAGTCATTTTATGAATTCTAATATTACGGGTAAGTCCCGCCGTCCCTTCTCTTAGCTATAGCTCAGAATCCACGATGCCGTCCAGTTTAACCAATCAAGTGATGCCAAGGGCTGTCAATCATCTGCGCTGATGCTCGTAGCTGCTCATGCTCAGTTGTTTGTTTTCACGGAGCCTCCGAATCAAGCCTCCATTAGGCTCTGGAACTACATGAAAACTGAACAAAGAATTCTGAACATCCGCGCTGAGTTAACCATTTATATACTGAACCTATATCCATAATCAGATCCTCTGCAGATGTGTCCTATAATGTTAAATCAATTCATAATGTCAATCAATCAATAATGTATATGTATAACTTGTTCTCCGATTAACATTTAAATGTGTTGATTGATTGTAACGGAAACATAGACGTAGAGCAATCAGAAAGGAAAGGGGGAGGGAGCTCTTTTTTTCTGACAAACTCCAGACAATCACTTTAATCCTTTCATCTTCACTTTTCCCACAGAATCTGGTGTTGTTGTGGGTCTGTGGTTCTCTTTCTCTCTGCTCGATCCTTTTGTCTTTGTGGTTCTCTCTCGCTTTGCTCCGAATCTGTCTCAGAAACCCTGGAAGCCTGTAATTGCAACGTCCTCCCACCTCTTAGTGTCAGGCCACAATAAATAACGGCGAGTGCTTTCACTACACACTTCTGTCACGGGGTTGTGCGGCCTTTAGCAGCAGCAGCAGAGAGAGGAGAGCTGTCAGAATTAGCAACGCTTCAAATTCTCTCCACAATCTAAGAAATACACACATTTAAAGCTGGAGTAACCAAAATCCAATCCACGACTACATTTTCTATATTTGGTAATCCATGTAGCCATACCAGCAGGTGAAATCAGATACTGTCAAACCTCTGAAGCTAAGCAGGGCAGAGGCTGGTTAGTACTGTGATGGGAGACCACCAGGTGCCACAGTGGGGCAGCTGCGGCTGTAAAGTGCAAAAATCTTTGGCAAGACACTTCCCCCACATTAGAATGAGTCGGGTGTGAATGTGTGAATGGTTGGTGGTGCTGAGAGGGGCTGATGGCACAGACGGGTTGCCTCGCTTCTTCCAGGGCAGCTGTGGCTACTGTAGTAGTTTATCACCAAAGTGTACAGAGTGAATGAATAATGAACAACAATGACTATGGGAAGAAAAACTCTCAAGTCTCTCTCTGGTCTCTCTCTGGTCTGTCTTTGGTCTCTCACTGGTCCCTCTCTGGTCCCTCTCTGGTCTCTCTCTGGTCTTTCACTGGTCTCTCTGGTCTGTCTTTGGTCTCTCACTGGTCCCTCTCTGGGCTCTCCCTGGTCTTCCACTCTTCAAATCCAGACTCAAAACCTACATGTATCTGTTCAGACTGTCCTACCCCACCTAACACACATGCACCCACCTTCCATATTGCACTACTGTTTTATTCTGTTGATCCTGTTGTCAATGTTTTTATTATGTCCTGTACAGTGTCCTTGGGTGTTTTGAAAGGGGCTTTTAAATAAACTGTACAGTATTATTATTATTATTATTATTCTGATACTGTGTTTTCAGACTGCTCTGGTCAGTCTCATAAAGCGACCACAGCGATGGAGTCCATTCTGTCGGAGCAGTCGGCGCCGGTGGACGAGCTGGTGGAAGCGTGCATCCAGGCCTTTGGTAAACCTTCCGTCCGGGGTCAGGGGTCAGGGGCAACTCTAAAGGATCAAAGAGGTACATTTGAAAACAGCAGCAGCAACAAAATCTGTCTGGTGCTGCAAAAAAGTAACAGTCCCGGTCCAGGTGCAGGTCCAGGTTAGTTAGTTAGATACTTTATTGATCCTTGTAGGAGAATTTCAGGTGTCCAGTAGCAGCAAAAACACATCCACTCACACAAACAAAACATATAGATAGATAATTCTAAAAAGCTAAGAATAGTTATAATAAGCAACAACACAGCAGCAGAGGTGGAGCCGCCGCTTTTCTCTGCTCTCGTCCAAAGTAAAAGGCTGAACACTTCACTAGCATTTTTCAAAAAGTCAGCCTTCCTCCAGTGGATTTTCGGCTGATCCGCTTATTTCGGACCATGAATCCTCTCCGCTCTGGTCTGGACCGGTGTAAAACCATGAACACTGTACTGCAGCAACATCTCAGGTAGAAAAAAACACTTGTAAAACTCAAAACAACAACTGTTTCAGAGATACTTAGGACTTGCTGCCGTTTACAGTGCATTCAAAAGTAAAGGTCCAGGTGCAGGTCCAGGTCCAGGTCCAGGTCCAGGCCCAGGCCCAGGTCCAGGCCCAGGTCCAGGCCCAGGTCTGGGCCTCACGGTGATGGTTTTGTGTTTGCAGATGAAAAGGGCGCTCTGAAGGATGCGGCTGTGGTCAGGATGTTCATCATGATGCATCCTTGGTACATCCCCTCCACAGACCTGGCCCACAAGCTGGTGCTCAAGTATCCTTTTGGAGTGAAGTTTGGAGTGAAGTTTGGAGTGAAGTACCGCATTAGGGGAACAAGAACTGACCTTTGTGGCAAATGCTGTTGAATCCTCACAGCTGCTTTAAAGGAGACATATTCTGCTAAATCTACATTTTTAGCTTTCACAATATTACATCAGTATTACCTCAACAACAACATAGTTGAAGAGTTTTTAAACCCAGAAACTTAGAAAGAAAAACTCTCTGGTCTCTCTCTGGTTTATCTGGTCTTTCTCTGGTCTTTCTCTGGTCTCTCTCTGGTCTCTCTCTGGTCTCTCTCTGGTCTCTCTCTCTGGTCTCTCTCTGGTCTCTCTCTGATCTCTCTCTGGTCTCTCTTTGGCCTTTCACTCTGGTCTCTCTCTGGTCTCTCTTTGGCCTCTCTCTCTGGTCTCTCTCTGGTCTCAGGTTTCGTACTTGGACATGGTTAAAAGCTACAAAAAAACTACCACTTTGTATAATGTATCCCCTTTAAACCTGGTCCTGAGACCTGATGACACATAGTATGAGCTGATGACACATGGTAAGAGCTGGAGGCCTGTGTGTTTACTTGTGGAGGACATTCGGATTTTCAGAAACTAAACTAAAGCCGTGTCCTTGATGGTTAACTCAGGTCCCAAGAGGAGAGCTGCTGTGCTGAGCGCCGCACCAGGATCGTCCACCTCCTCAAGTAAGAGCCAGACTTTACAGTATGCTTTTAATGGAACAGCCTTGAGTAGAAAACAAACATTTGCTTTTACTGGGTATTTGTTGGTTTGTTTTGATCCATGTTGGGTTATTATGACTGTATTATTAATGGATTTGGACTTGTGTGTTGCAGTTTTGTGTGGGTGTTTTATTTTTTTCATTTTTTTAATACAGTGTGTTTAGTTCAACAATATTATTTACAATATTTATATAACCGTTAGACAGTTACCTTTGTTTAAAGACTCGCTCTCTGTTCTCTCTCCGGTCTCTCTCTGGTCTCTCTTTGGTCTCTCTCTGGTCTCTCTTTGGTCTCTCTTTGGTCTCTCTCTGGTCTCTCTTTGGTCTCTCTCTGGTCTCTCTCTGGTCTCTCTTTGGTCTCTCTCTGGACTCTCTTTGGTCTCTCTCTGGTCTCTCTCTGTTCTCTCTTTGGTCTCTCTTTGGTCTCTCTCTGGTCTCTCTCTGGTCTCTCTTTGGTCTCTCTTTGGTCTCTCTCTTGTCTCTCTCTGTTCTCTCTCTGTTTTCTCTCTGGTCTCTCTCTGGTCTCTCTCTGGTCTCTCTCTGGTCTCTCTCTAGTCTCTCTCTGTTCTCTCTCTGTTCTCTCTCTGGTCTCTCTCTGGTCTCTCTCTCTTCTGGTCTCTCTCTGGTCTCTCTCTGGTCTCTCTCTGGACTCTCTTTGGTCTCTCTCTGGTCTCTCTCTGTTCTCTCTTTGGTCTCTCTTTGGTCTCTCTCTGGTCTCTCTCTGGTCTCTCTTTGGTCTCTCTTTGGTCTCTCTCTTGTCTCTCTCTGTTCTCTCTCTGTTTTCTCTCTGGTCTCTCTCTGGTCTCTCTCTGGTCTCTCTCTGGTCTCTCTCTAGTCTCTCGCTGGTCTCTCTCTGGTCTCTCTCTGTTCTCTCTCTGGTCTCTTTCTGGTCTCTCTTTGGTCTCTCTCTGGTCTCTCTCTCTGGTCTCTCTCTAGTCCCCCTCTGGTCTCTCTCTAGTCTCTCTCTGGTCTCTCTCTAGTCCCCCTCTGGTCTCTCTCTAGTCTCTCTCTGGTCTCTCTCTAGTCTCTCTCTCTTCACTCTCTCTGGTCTATCTAGTTTCTCTCTGGTCTCTCCAAACAGGGAACAGAACAAAGATATGATTTGATATCAATTCAAAATACCAACGTTCTTTGATTGTTGTTGTTTACTTAAAACTATTGACATTTTACAAAGAGTCTTTGGTTTACACACAGGTGTTTAAAGCCTGGCTCTGACCTCCTCTCTCTCCCCTCTGTCCTCTCTCTCCTCTCTCTGTTTCTTCTGTCCTCTCTGTCTTCTCTGTCTCTTCTCTCTCTCCTCTCTGTTTCTTCTCTCCTCTCTGTCCTTTCTATACCTTCTGTCCTCTCTCTCCTCTCTGTCTCTTCTCTCCTCTCTGTCCTCTCTGTCTCTCCTCTCTCTCTCCTCTTCGTCCTCTCTCTCCTCTCCGTCCCTTCTCTCCTCTCTCTCCTCTCTGTCCCTTTATTTGTGTGTGTTTGCCGTTAGGTATTGGATCTCAGAGTTTCCCGCAGAGTTCAATCTGAACCCAGAGCTGGCCGAGCAGATAAAAGAGTTCAAGGAGCTGCTGAGCACGGAGGGAGAGGAGAGCCACAGCCGCCTCATCGACATCGACAGTGTGTGAGTCCTGATGAGACCGAAGAGACACAATACCCACAATTTTACAATGAGGCGAATTGGATCCACACCTAAAGCTGGAGTTGTTCAATTCAAACTGGTTATAGTCCATGTGAAGATGTCTTGGTCACACTTTAGTTTAGCCAATAATTATTAACAGCTCATTAAAGGACAACTCACCCTCAAATCCACTTTTTTTTGCTGATAAACGGTATAAATGAGTGTCCAATAGTGTTGTCTACATATCCTGGTCATAATCTTGTCACTTTGGTGCAAATTAGTTGAAAGTTAGACTTTCTGCCTAAAACCGTCTGTGAGGCGCCATCTGTTGGCGACCTGTATTACTACATTTGAATTTTGAATCTGGCGCCAACACTGGCACAGAAGTTGGACCTGACGTCTGCAAGTTGGACCTGACGTCAGCAGCCCCCCGCCCAGAGCAATGTAAACGGCCCAGTCTCGTTCACGCCCCCTTTAGTCCTCCAGGCTACGCCCATTTAGAGGAAGATTTGAACAGGAAATGTGAGTAACGTAAGACGTAAGGAGCGGGGGTGAGAACCACTTTAAGTGCTAATTATTGCATCATTTATGGATAATTAGCTCTTTATTAACTATATTTATTAAGCACTCTCTGGTCTCTCTTTGGCCTCTCTCTGGTCTCCCTTTGGTTTCTCTGTTCTCTCTCTCTGGTCTCCCTTTGATCTCTTTCCGGTTTCTCTCTGGTCCCTCTCTTGTCTCTCTCTGGTCTCTCTCTGGTCTCTCTTTGGTCTCTCTCTTGTCTCTGTTCTCTCTCTTTCTGGTCTCCCTTTGGTCACTCTCTCTTGTCTCTCTCTGTTCTCTCTCTGGTCTCTCTCTGGTCTCCCTTTGGTCTCTCTCTTGTCTCTCTGTGTTCTCTCTTTTTGGTCTATCTTTGGTCTCACTCTGGTCTGTTTCCTCTTCTTACCACGTGGCTTAGGTTCAGGGTCAAGGATATAGTCTGGGTTTGAGTTTGGGTAGACTAGAACAGAATGATATTTTTGTTTGTTTTGTTTGAATGCATCTATCTATCTATCCATCCATCTATCTTATTAGCAGTTAATTAGGGCTAATCTGAGTGTTCCTGGTTGTCTCGCTGCAGCCCGTCGTACAAGTGGAAGCGGCAGGTGACTCAGCGCGTTCCGTCCGTCTCCAAAAAGAGGAAGATGTCTCTGCTCTTCGACCACCTGGACTCCTGCGAACTGGCCGAGCACCTCACCTACCTGGAGTACAAGTCCTTCTGCAAGATCCTGGTCAGTGTCTGCACCTGGTCTGAGTCTGCACCTGGTCAGAGTCTGCACCTGGTCTGGGTCTGCACCTGTACCCTTGTTACTTGATACTTGTTGTTAGCTACCAGGGGCCAAAGCCTAGGGGCCTACCATAGTCTAGCGGCCAAAGCCAATGGGCCTTACCAAAATGTAGACAACAGACAAAGGTGCATAAATAGATAAAGGTTAAAATTACACAAACAAACTTAGATTATTCTAGTGCTGTAATTGTCATTCCAGGTGTTATGGTCGACAGGGAAAGAGACTAAACTGGACTAAATTTTGTTTGTGTAGTTCCAGGACTACCATAGCTTCGTGATGCACGGCTGCACAGTGGACAACCCCATCTTGGAGCGCTTCATCACCCTCTTCAACAGCGTGTCCCAGTGGATCCAGCTCATGGTGCTCAGCAAGCCCACCGCCCAGCAGAGGGCGCTGGTCATCAGCCACTTCATCCGCGTGGCACAGGTGTGTAACGCTGCCCTCTGTTCGGTGTGAAGACCTGTCTCAGCTCCTGGGAGAATGATTATTTAGCTGGTTTTGTGTTGTGTGCTCCTCACCTTTCTCATTTTTTTGGGTTTGGATTCAACCAAAATTGTGTTGGGCCAGACTCTATCCTTGAACATATTGTTGTGTTGCGTTCAGAATTTAGAATCAATTAAATTTGGTTGTTTATCCATTATTTGGTTGAGAAAATAGATGATTTATTACATGCCATGGTCGTCTATCATCGTCAAAGCGGCAAGTTCAGATTCAGATTCAGATTCAGTTTATTTGCCATTTGCAGTAAAAACACCAGATTGGAATACATTAGCAAAAAGTCTCCAGTGTGCACAGACAAATACAGTACAGACATAAAACAACATTAAAAGACAGAAATAAAACAAATAAAACAGTAAACAAATGTCACTGTGAAATCGATCGACTAAGGCTATATCCACACGAAGACAAAACGCTTATAATTTCAGAAACTTTTTCTGTAAACACGGAGTTAGCTCAGTAAATGTGTGCGTCCATATGAATGTAGTCAATACGCCTGAAAACGCTGTGAAACTATGCCAGACCTGTTGGTGGCGCTGTGACGCAATGACGGGATCAAGCCCAAACTTCCGTGGGCATGCGCGGAATTTTGTAAACAGACAACATGGCGAGTGGGCGAGCTGGTACTACATTAGTATGGACGGACGATGAGGTTGAACTGTTGCTTCGGGTCACACTGGATTACAAAACCAACAAGCTACATTGTTGTTGTCATTATTTTCTGAGTGCGGCGCATGCGTGCTTTAACAAGAGGCGGGGCGATGACGCAAGCGTCTCAGATACATTGCGGAGAGGCAGTAACCACGGAGCGGCATATACGGAGTTTTGAAATATTTCCACTCTGGGACCTACTTTCAAAAATGTTCGTTTACACCCCCCCAAAACGCCGGCCTCGTATGGACGATACACTGGATTGATAAAGTATTTTTGCGTTTAGGCCTGAGCTTGACTTCGTGTGGACAGGGCCTAAAACAGTTTCAAAACAAGTGCAAATCATTAAAGTGCTCTGTTCACACTGATAACAGCTTGTGGATAAAAACTGTTAGCGTAACGAGATGTCCTGCATCTCTGAGAGCGATATCTTCTGCCAGAGGGAAGAAGCTGGAACATGGCTTTCCCAGGGTGGCCAGAAGAGTCATTGACAATCCTAAGAGCTTTGTTTAAAAGTCTGGATTTATAAAGAACCTCCAGAACAGGAAGCTCACAGCCCACGGTCCTCTTAGCAGAGCGGAGCACCTTGTTTAAAGATCTATTTTCTTTATCTGTGATGTTTCCAAACCACACAGACACAGAGCCAACAAGTAAACTCTCAATGGTGCAGCGATAAAAGTTAAGCTTAGTTAAGTTAGTGGTAAATTCTCTAAGTTTGCGCAGAAAGTAGAGACGCTGACGAGCTTTCTTAACGACTCGGTCAGTGTTCATAATTAATACAAGTTAATAATGATAGATAAAAAAATCATGTTTGGGGCCACTAAAAAGTGTCTTGCGGGCCGGATTTTGCCCACTGGCCTGAGTTTGACATGTCTGTTATAGGGACTGGCTCACTTTGAACTCCTGCCGGAATAGAGGGGAAACCGTGTGAATGTGAAGTGTAAACATTTATATAACAAGTGGCTCATAACAAAGTGTTCAAGGTGCATCACATACTGTATGTAACATTGTGCTCCGTCTCCATAGCAACGTCATTTCTGTATCCGAAATGTTAGCTAAATACGGCTAACATACATGATAACACACGGGTCCCAAAACACAGCTTACCCTCACGATGATGCAGCGCAGGAGAATTTACTAATGATTTATTGATTGGCGACAGCAGGGGCCCTCACCTTCTGTCACTGGCCCCTCTCTGAGCCCCCCTCACCCCCACCCCCCAGCAGAGAGCTTTAGAACGCTCTCTCGCTCTCTCTAACACCTGCTTTGGTTCAGAATCTATACTTTATTTCCTGTAACTTTTGTTTTGTGTGATTTTCAATATTTGTCACTTTATCACTTTAGATTAGCCCTCACCAATTAACAGCTAACATACATGAAAATGAGTGTACCCTAGAGAGACTAGAGAGAGAGAGACTAGAGAGAGAGACCGGAAAGAGACCAGAGAGAGAGAGACTAGAGAGAGAGACTGGAAAGAGACCAGAGAGAGACTAGAGAGAGAGACCGGAAAGAGACCAGAGAGAGACTAGAGAGAGAGAGACTGGAAAGAGACCAGAGAGCGAGACTAGATATAGATGACTATAGAGAGAGCAGAGAGAGATGACTAGAGAGAGACCAGAGAGAGACCAGAGAGAGACTAGAGTGAGATGACTAGAGAGAGAGACTAGAGAGAGAGAGACTAGAGAGAGAGACTAGAGAGAGATGACTAGAGAGAGACTAGAGAGAGAGACTGGAAAGAGACCAGAGAGAGACTGGAAAGAGACCAGAGAGAGAGACTAGATATAGATGACTATAGAGAGAGCAGAGAGAGATGACTAGAGAGAGACCAGAGAGAGACTAGAGTGAGATGACTAGAGAGAGAGACTAGAGAGAGATGACTAGAGAGAGACTAGAGAGAGACTAGAGAGAGAGACTACAGAGAGAGACTAGAGAGAGAGACTAGAGAGAGATGACTAGAGAGAGACTAGAGAGAGACTAGAGAGAGAGACTAGAGAGAGAGACTACAGAGAGAGACTAGAGAGAGATGACTAGAGAGATGACTAGAGAGAGATGACTAGAGAGAGAGAGACTAGAGAGAGAGACTACAGAGAGAGACTAGAGAGAGATGACTAGAGAGATGACTAGAGAGAGATGACTAGAGAGAGAGAGACTAGAGAGAGATGACTAGTGAGAGAGACTAGAGATGACTAGAGAGAGAGAGACCAGAGAGAGACACGTGCAAGAGGACAAGAGAGAGACCCTCTCCTGGTTCTCATGGTCCCTCTGCTGGTCCCCATGGTATCTCTCCTGGTCCCCATGTTGCTCTCGTGCTGCTGCGGCTGAGATCCGTTATAGTTTGTGATTGCCGACAGCACAGACGGCAACGACACAGTTGACATTTCACGCCTGGTCCCTCGGGGAGCACAGGGCCTCCCTCATCTCGCCCTTTACCAGCGATGAGACATTTTTACAGCAGTCGTAACATCTGCTTTCAAAAATGTACTGTTGGGAAAAGTAATTGTGCACCGAGGTCCATTGTTTATCGTAAGATTTGCCTTCTCTCCACGGCCTCACACCAAAGAACATCTGAGACATGTTAGTGCCATATGAGCCAACTCAGAGGAGCACAGGGACTGGCCTCCTGCTGGGACTCTGAAGAGCACAGGGACTGGCCTCCTGCTGGGACTCTGAGGAGCACAGGGACTGGCCTCCTGCTGGGACTCTGAGGAGCAGTGGGACTGGTCTCCTACTGGTCCCAGACTCAGGACTAAACTTGAGGAGGCAGCATATAAGATTAATGCAGCCAGAATCCGGAACAGTCTTCCTGGAAATGTGAGACAGGATTCTTCTCTGACTATGTTGAAAACCAGGTTAAAACAGATCAGTTCATCACATCCTTAAAGTGATAGTCTGTAACTCTAAATGAATTACAAATTTTAAGAATTGTATTAAATTGACCTCCTGGTCTTAAATGTTGATCAAAAATAAGTAATTTTATTAATTCTAATATTACGGGTAAGTCCCGCCTTCCCTTCTCTTAGCTATAGCTCAGAATCCACGATGCCGTCCACGTTAACCAACCAAGTGATGCCAAGGGCTGTCAATCATCGGCGCTGATGCTCGTAGCTGCTCATGCTCAGTTGTTTGTTTTCGCGGAGCCTCCGAATCAAGCCTCTATTAGGCTCTGGAACTACATGAAAACTGAACAAAGAATTCTGAACATCCGCGCTGAGTTAACCATTTATATACTGAACCTATATCCATAATCATTTATATACTGAACCTATATCCATAATCATTTATATACTGAACCTATATCCATAATCATTTATATACTGAACCTATATCCATATTCATTTATATACTGAACCTATATCCATAATCATTTATATACTGAACCTATATCCATAATCATTTATATACTGAACCTATATCCATAATCATTTATATACAGAACCTATATCCATAATCATGTATATACTGAACCTATATCCATAATCATGTATATACTGAACCTATATCCATAATCATTTATATACTGAACCTATATCCATAATCATTTATATACAGAACCTATATCCATAATCATTTATATACTGAACCTATATCCATAATAATTTATATACTGAACCTATATCCATGATCAGATCCTCTGCAGATGTGTCCTATAATGTACAATTAATGTTTGCCGTGATCGTTTTTTTGTGTGCATTAAAACATTATTTTTTTCATGAAAACATAAACAAATAATCCTGAAATCCTCCGTGCATGTGTATTAATAGTGTATAAGTATAATGTGTTCTCTCATTAACATTTAAATGTGTTACGGAAACTTAGGCGTAGACCAATCAGAAAGGAAGGGGGAGGGAGCTTGCGTCCTTTTATTTCAGATCAAGTACCTCTCTGTCTCTCTTTCTGACAAACTCCAGACAATCACTTTAAAGCCAGCTCCCCTCCATGTGGGCTCTCTCAGACCTCCTGGCACCAAAGTGAATTTTAGCAGACAGGATATAATTTAGCCACACATGATTTTCCAAAATGATAACTGAAGTTACATTCCAATCTCATATAACTATTTTATCTTCCGTCTTTTTGATGTAATGCTATTGTTAATGATTTGAATGCCAGGTTTTGTTTAGAGTTGCCTTGTGTACAAACTGAACTGTGCTACACGGATAAACTTGCCTTGCTTCTAATTACGTATAAGCAGCAATAAGCAAAATCCTTGAAGTAGCAGCGACTGCCTGAATGCTGCTGCAGCTGTCAAAAGCCCTGCATAACAAAACTAAGACTGAACTATGACCACCCAGATACAAACCAGGACTTACCCACATTAATCTATCAAATATATCACTTTTTTAAGATTTTAAATATGGGCTGAGGACCGGATGAGATTGTTCAGAGGTCCTGATTTGGCCCCCGGGCCGCGAGTTGAAAAGGTCTGCTCTAAGATACAGTGTATTTGAATGTGGTAGTCCGCCCCATATGCACATGTCGATAGGAGCCTGCTCTTTGGGTGTATTGATTGTAAAGAGTGTTTGTGTGTGTGTTAATGTGTAAGTGTTTGTGTATTTGTGTGTGCGGTCATGCGTGAGCGTCTGTGTGAATGGATGTGTGTGTTTATGCATGTGTGTCAGTGCTTTTTGGTTGTTGTATATACTTGTGTGTGCGTGGGTTTCATGCGTGTCCGTCTGTCTGTGTGTGTTTGTATATCCATACTGTATGCGTGTTTATTTGTGTGAATTAGTTTGTGTGCGCGTCAGTGTGCGAATGTGCTTGTGCATGTGTGTCTGTGTCTGTGTATATTCGTGTGTGTTTATGTGTTTGTAAGCACATGCGTGTTAATATATATGTATCCGTTTGTGTGCGTGTCAGTGTATGCATGTGCTTGTGTGTGTGTGTGTGTGTGTGTATGTGTGTGTGTGTGTGGAGCTTGGCAGTCCTCCCACACAGCTGCAGCAGCATTGATTGGAACAGGGAGACTCCACACAAGAGAAGGCCACTCAGACCCTGCTGAGACCATTCACAAAGTCTCTCTGACACAGAAGCAGAACACGCCGGAACAAACTGGACCCTAAGACTGAGAAACATGAAGACTCTGGGGAAAGAGAAAAACTGAGAGGGACTGAGAGGGACTGAGAGGGACTGAGAGAGACTGAGAGAGATTGAGTGAGATTGGGGGAGACATAGAGAGACAGTGAGAGATCAGAGAGAGACCAGAGAGAGACTAAGAGAGACCGAGAGGGACTAGGGGAGACCGAGAGGGACTGAGAGAGACTGAGAGAGATTGAGAGAGACTGAGTGAGTTTGAGAGAGACAGAGAGAGACAGAGAGAGACAGAGAGAGACAGAGAGAGACCGAGAGAGACCGGGAGAGACCGAGAGAGACCGAGAGAGACCGAGAGAGACCGAGAGAGACCGAGGGAGACCGAGGGAGACCGAGGGAGACCGAGGGAGACCGAGGGAGACCGAGGGAGACCGAGGGAGACCGAGAGAGACCGAGAGAGACCGAGAGAGACCGAGAGTGACCGAGAGTGACCGAGGGAGACCGAGGGAGACCGAGGGAGACCGAGGGAGACCGAGGGAGACCGAGGGAGACCGAGAGAGACCGAGAGAGATTGAGAGAGATTGAGAGAGATTGAGAGAGATTGAGTGAGATTGAGTGAGATTGGGGGAGACATAGAGAGACAGTGAGAGATCAGAGAGAGACCAGAGAGAGACCAGAGAGAGATCAGAGAGAGACTGAGAGAGACCGAGAGGGACTGAGGGAGACCGAGAGGGACTGAGAGAGACTGAGAGAGATTGAGAGAGATTGAGAGAGATTGAGTGAGATTGAGTGAGATTGGGGGAGACATAGAGAGACAGTGAGAGATCAGAGAGAGACCAGAGAGAGACCAGAGAGAGATCAGAGAGAGACTAAGAGAGACCGAGAGGGACTGAGGGAGACCGAGAGGGACTGAGAGAGACTGAGAGAGATTGAGAGAGACTGAGTGAGTTTGAGAGAGATTGGGAGAGACAGAGAGAGACAGAGAGAGACAGTGAGAGACCGAGAGAGACAGTGAGAGACCGAGAGAGATTGAGAGAGATTGAGAGAGATTGAGAGAGATTGAGTGAGATTGAGTGAGATTGGGGGAGACATAGAGAGACAGTGAGAGATCAGAGAGAGACCAGAGAGAGACCAGAGAGAGATCAGAGAGAGACTGAGAGAGACCGAGAGGGACTGAGGGAGACCGAGAGGGACTGAGAGAGACTGAGAGAGATTGAGAGAGATTGAGAGAGATTGAGTGAGATTGAGTGAGATTGGGGGAGACATAGAGAGACAGTGAGAGATCAGAGAGAGACCAGAGAGAGACCAGAGAGAGATCAGAGAGAGACTAAGAGAGACCGAGAGGGACTGAGGGAGACCGAGAGGGACTGAGAGAGACTGAGAGAGATTGAGAGAGACTGAGTGAGTTTGAGAGAGATTGGGAGAGACAGAGAGAGACAGAGAGAGACAGTGAGAGACCGAGAGAGACAGTGAGAGACCGAGAGTGACTGAGAGAGACTGAGAGAGACTGAGGGAGACTGAGAGAGACCGAGAGGGACTGAGAGAGACCGAGAGTGACTGAGAGAGACTGAGAGAGACTGAGGGAGACTGAGGGAGACTGAGGGAGACTGAGAGAGACCGAGAGGGACTGAGGGAGACCGAGAGGGACTAGGGGAGACCGAGAGGGATTGAGAGAGACTGAGTGAGTTTGAGAGAGAGAGAGAGAGAGACAGTGAGAGACCGAGAGTGACTGAGAGAGACTGAGGGAGACTGAGAGGGACTGAGAGAGACTGAGAGAGACTGAGGGAGACTGAGGGAGCCTGAGAGGGACTGAGAGAGACTGAGAGAGACTGAGAGAGAGGGAGGGACTGAGAGGGAGAGAGACAGACAGACTGGGAGGGACTGAGAGAGACTGAGATATTTAAAAAAAAAAAAGTATATATTTTTATACTTTGTTATGCACAGATTTTGACAGCTGCAGCAGCTCTCAGGCCTATGTCTAACAGGTTTGACATCGCACTTCAGAAGTTGTGAGTTCAAAAACGGATCCAAGATTTTAAAGCCCATTAGACATGACCATCAAAAATATTCAGCCCTTGTGGAACCTATGCTGAAAAGCCGTGGTGCAGCCTGTCGCTAAAACTGTGTATTTTGTTTTTGTTATGACAGAAGCTTCTCCAGCTGCAGAACTTCAACACCCTGATGGCCGTGGTGGGCGGCCTCAGCAACAGCTCCATCTCCAGACTCAAAGACACCCAGGCTCATGTCAGCGCAGAGACCAACAAGGTGAGACCAGAGACCAACAAGGTGAGACCAGAGACCAACAAGGTGAGACCAGAGACAAACAAGGTGAGACCAGAGACAAACAACGTGAGACCAGAGACCAGCAAGGTGAGACCAGAGACCAGCAAGGTGAGACCAGAGACCAACAAGGTGAGACCAGAGACCAACAAGGTGAGACCAGAGACCAACAAGGTGAGACCAGAGACCAACAAGGTGAGACCAGAGACCAACAAGGTGAGACCAGAGACAAACAACGTGAGACCAGAGACCTGTTCCGCAGTGGAAGTGTGTAGACGTGTTCCTTGGTGCTCCGCTGCTTGCTTCGCTTTGTAATCTCTTTTAATCGCTTTATTTACATTTTTATTCTACAAAACACGGATTACTCCTTCTGCAGACTTCAGCTTTGTGAAATTTGTCAACATTAATCATGTCCGGACGGAAGAAACGAAGACAAATCTGCGATGGCTGCTGCTCTCTGGAAAATGAGCTCAAACTTCTTCAAAAACGGATGGATATTTTGGAAACAGAAATGGGACTTAACCCGACTCTTCCAATGTGTGAAAATGGAATGAATGGACAGACTGGAAATGTAAGTTATGATGACGTAATTACTTTTCCCAAAATCAACAAAGAGAACTATTGGAATAAATGCGGCGCTAAACCCAAAGTTGACAAAGCTAAGAATGACAATGGGAGTGGAATTCTGCCACGAAATGTTTGCAAAACTTCAAATCGTTATGCTACTCTGTTTGAAGAAGCAAAGCCACAGTCTGTTTCTCCCCCTCCGTCAAGGCCACGGTGTTTGCTGCTTGGAGATTCTGCCATTCGGAATGTATCTTTGAACTTTGTACAGACTTGTTCTGTGCACTCGGCCAGAGTGTCTGAGATAAGAGCTTTGGTGCCAAAAGTTTTATCTCAAACCAAGGATGTAAGTACATTGTTGATACACACAGGGGCAGTAGACATTTATGAGAAATCCACTGAGAAGTTGAGAAGAGTTGTTTCTCTGCTGCTGGATGACCTTAAAAAAATGGAGTTAAACGTGCTAATCAGTGGTCCCATTCCAAATGCAGATGGAAAAATCGAGAAGTTTAGCCGTCTGTACCAGTTAAATTCATTTCTACACAATGAGTGTTCACGCAGAGGACTTGGATTCATTGAAAACTTCAATCTGTTCTGGAATAGGCTCGAGCTCTTTGAAGGGAAAGGCCCACATCTGAACAAATACGGAGTAAAAGTGTTGATGGATAACTTTGCATCTGCCTTAAGACCTCAGCCTGCGCAGCGCGTTCAGCCGTTGAAAGAGAGGAGGATACAAAGGGCGAGACCCTCTCCACGGAACCCAGAGGTCTCGGCACCTCCACCGCCTCAAAAGAACTCAACACGTCCACCAGCATCATCATCAGCAAAGGATCCAGCACCAGCAGCAGCAGTGGCTGCCACAGCGTCATCAGCGCCTTCAGCATCAGCACCACCAGCACCAGCTGTGGCTGCTGCATCATCTTCAGCAGCACCTTCCCCACCTACAGCTCCCGTGAAGCCCCCCCCATTGCTCCAGGCTACAGTCAGGCCTGCACTGGGGGCCTCTCAACCACCTCCGTCTCCACCAAAGACTCCCTCATCACCTTCCATGGACCCGGTTTGGGTCCCCCCCGCTACATCCACTCCATCTAAGGAACATGAGGACGACCTTTCCCTGTGTTTTCCATCACTATTGGATTTACCGGAACACTCTGCAGGCATGATAAGATCGGCGATGAAGAATATTCCTCTCACACCCACTGTAGCCAGATCAAGAGCCTATCTAACATTCATAACTTCTCCCCATACGTACCTCCAAAGCCACCTAGGGCGTCCAACTCAAATTCTCCCACAAAATCCACCCGTCCCTCAAATTCTAACTCGAATTCACCCGCAAAATCCACAGGTCCCTCCCCTAACCCCAAAACCCCAACCATTCCACCCCCACCCCCCCCTCGTTTCCCATCACCAAGAACCCCTCCACCTCCACTCCCCCCTCGTCTATCTCCCAACTCCTGCCCCTCCCCTAACACCCATCCACCTCCAACCCCCCCTCGTCCAACACCCAAGAACCACCCACCTCTCCATCCTCCTCCCTCCTCTCGCAGCCACTGGCAGTCTAGTTAGAGGAGAGACCCGGCTGGGGCCCTGTCATGAAGCCACCTGTGCCATTCCCTTAGTGATAACACAAAGAATACATTACAGAAAGACATCTGGAGTTAATCAGTCTAATCTGGAAAATCTAATTCTTGTTCCGTGTAAGAATCAGCCGACCACAACCGCTGATACTGAAACTTTGAAACTTGCTATGCTAAATGTCAGATCTCTTTCTAACAAGTCTTTTTTAATCAATAATTTTATTTGTTCTTATAATCTTGATCTTATGTTCATGGCTGAAACTTGGCTTGACCAAAATACAGAAAATGCAGTTTTAATAGAAGCATCACCACCAAATTTCAAATTTGAATCTGAAATACGGGAAAACAAAAAAGGAGGAGGCTTAGCTGCCATTTTTAGAGACCACTTTGTCTCCCATAGAATGTCTCTTGGGAAGTTTCCGTCTTTTGAATATGTGTCTTTTAAAATACAACAAAAACAATCTCCTCCAATACTCTTCATAGTTCTATACAAGCCACCGCAGTCATGTCACAGTTTTATTGATAATTTTACCGAGTTGCTTTCAGTTGTATGCACAGATTTTGATAGTTTAGTTATTACAGGTGATTTTAATATTCATGTGGATAATGTTGATGACAGAAATGCAAAAGAGCTGAGTTCTTTACTTGATACCTTTGGTCTCACTCAGCACGTGAGTGGCCCCACCCACAGCAGAGGGCACACTCTAGACCTGTTAGTTACAAAGGGGGTGAATATTTCAAATATAAGCGTGGTCGATGTTGCTCTTTCGGATCATTTCTGTGTATTTTTTGACATGTGTTTCACTAACAAACCACCAGTGGACTCTGCAACTGTTCGAAGAAGACACATAAATGAAAATCGAGTGAACTATTTATGGGAATGATAAACTTTGAGAATGCATCGTATTCTACTGTAGATGAACTGTTTAACTCTGTCACCTCTAGTGTTTTGAATGTTCTGGATACCGTTGCCCCTGTGAAGGTTAAAATAGTGAAAAATAAGCAGAAGGCGCCGTGGGCTAAAGCAGACTCGGTCAGAGCACTGAAGAGAAAGTGCCGGAGGGTCGAGCGGAAGTGGCGCAAGTCCAACCTCCAGGTTGATTACAAGATATTCAAAGATAAGTTGTGCGAGTTTAACCGGGTGCTACGTAGTACGAGAGAAAGGTATTTTTCTGAAATGATTGAAGGCTGCAGCAACAATCTGCGTGTTCTGTTCTCAACAGTTAACTCATTGACTGCCATTGACGTGTTAACACGTCAAACTAAATAGTAACGTTGTCTGCCAATGACGTGTTAACACGTCAATTGCGTTTCCCGCTATTTTTACGTTCCCAGCTGTCCATTGAATCTAATATGTGGAGATTGGCTTGAGGCAATACTTTATGGAGCCAGCAGATGGCAGCATTGCGCTATGAATGGTTTGAACACAGCTAGATGCACTGTTTGTGGCCCTTTTTTCTCAGCTTTCTGGTGATTTCAATAAAACTTCCCTCTACTCAACTGGGGATTACAGAAGAACTAAACAAGATAGAAACAAAATTCTTTTTGCTGGTGAGAGTAGACAGCCCATTCTTTCAGAATCTAGTTTTAGATTTCAGATAGTCAAAGTACACAATATTCTGTGGGTCTTGAAAAATCAGTAAAAACCACCAGAAACGGCTGGCAATATGGGAGTACCTGTTTTGAAATGGGCTGGCAGTCAATGAGTTAATAGATTAACAAACCCCCCTGTTCAGATGCCATTAGAGCTAACTTCCAAACGTAAATGCAATGAGTTTGCACACTTTTTCAATGACAAGGTTCAAGGCATCAAAAACGCCATTGTCTCCAATCCACAGATAACCATCCAACAGCCAGAAAGGCTCTCTGAGCTAACTTACTTTGCACCTGTAGATGATAAAAATGTCCAAGAAATAATTTCCAGTTTGAGCTCCTCCACATGCAGCCTGGATGTACTACCCACTAGATTTCTGAAGTCTGTTCTGGGCAGTCTGTTACCTTCACTCACACAGATAGTAAACATGTCCCTTCATTCTGGAATATTCCCAAAGGCCCTGAAAACGGCAGTCATCAGGCCCCTGCTAAAAAAGAGCAGCCTGGATGCTACGGTACTTAACAACTATCGTCCCATCTCAAATCTGCCATTTATGGGGAAAGCCCTTGAAAAAGTTGTCTACCTACAGCTTACTAGATTTCTTATAATTAACAACTCATTTGATATGTTTCAGTCCGGCTTTAGACCCCACCACAGCACTGAGACTGCTCTTGTCAAGGTTACAAACGATATCCGGCTGAACACTGACGCAGGCAAAGTCTCAATCTTAATCTTGTTAGATCTGAGTGCTGCCTTTGACACCGTTGACCATGAGATCCTCTTACAGAGACTAGAGGACTGGGTTGGAGTCGCTGGCACCGCCCTAAGTTGGTTTAGGTCTTACCTTGAAGACAGGAAGTACTTTGTGGAGATTGGAGACTGTGTCTCAGATCATATGGCCCTGACCTGTGGAGTACCACAGGGGTCGATCCTGGGACCTCTTCTGTTCAATCTCTACATGCTGCCGTTAGGTCAGTTAATACGCAGAAACAAAGTGTCCTATCATAACTATGCAGACGACACTCAGATCTATGTCTCACTGACTGCAGGAGAACATGGACCAGTGGACTCACTCCTTCACTGTATCCAACAGATCAGTGAGTGGATGCAAAACAACTTCCTTCAGCTAAACGCAGACAAAACTGAAATGATTGTCTTTGGTCCCCAGAAACAAAGAGAGAGCGTCATCTGTCACCTACAGTCTCTCTCCCTAAAACCTTCAAACAAGGTCAGAAATCTAGGGGTAATACTGGACTCAGACTTACATTTTAATAGCCACATCAAATCAGTAACATCAGCAGCTTTTTACCATCTAAAAAACATTGCCAGGATCAAAAACATAGTGTCTAAAGCAGACTTGGAGATTCTTATCCATGCATTTGTCTCCAGTAGGTTAGACTACTGCAATGGCCTGCTCACAGGTCTGTCCAAACAGGCTGTAAAACAGCTGCAGTACATTCAAAATGCAGCAGCTCGAGTCCTGACTAGAACCAGGAAGTACGACCACATTAGTCCGGTCCTCAGGTCCCTGCACTGGCTTCCTGTGGCTCAGAGAATAGACTTTAAAACAGCTCTGCTTGTGTACAAATCTCTCCATGGCCTCGCACCAAACTATATTAGTGACATGTTAGTCCCATATGAACCAGCCCGGACTCTGAGGAGCACAGGGACTGGACTCCTGTTAGTGCCCAGAGTCAGAACTAAACATGGGGAGGCTGCTTTTCAGATTCATGCTGCTAAAATCTGGAACAGTCTTCCTGAAGATGTGAGACAGGCCTCCTCTCTGACAATGTTTAAAACCAGGTTAAAGACGGTTCTGTTTAGCTGTGCATACAACTGAGGGATTTTATATTTTTATATATATATATATATATTTTTTTAATGTACTGTGATTATTTATGATTTTAATGCTTTCTTGTTCTGTTCAGCACTTTGAATTGCCTTGTGTATGAATTGTGCTATACAAATAAACTTGCCTTGCCTTGACTTACCAGCAAGGTGAGACCAGAGACCAGCAAGGTGAGACCAGAGACCAGCAAGGTGAGACCAGAGACCAACAAGGTGAGACCAGAGACCAACAAGGTGAGACCAGAGACCAACAAGGTGAGACCAGAGACCAACAAGGTGAGACCAGAGACCAACAAGGTGAGACCAGAGACCAACAAGGTGAGACCAGAGACCAACAAGGTGAGACCAGAGACCAGCAAGGTGAGACCAGAGACCAGCAAGGTGAGACCAGAGACCAACAAGGTGAGACCAGAGACCAACAAGGTGAGACCAGAGACAAACAACGTGAGACCAGAGACCAGCAAGGTGAGACCAGAGACCAGCAAGGTGAGACCAGAGACCAACAAGGTGAGACCAGAGACCAACAAGGTGAGACCAGAGACCAACAAGGTGAGACCAGAGACCAACAAGGTGAGACCAGAGACCAACAAGGTGAGACCAGAGACCAACAAGGTGAGACCAGAGACCAGCAAGGTGAGACCAGAGACCAGCAAGGTGAGACCAGAGACCAACAAGGTGAGACCAGAGACCAGCAAGTTGAGACCAGAGACCAGCAAGGTGAGACCAGAGACCAGCAAGGTGAGATTAGAGACCAGCAAGTTGAGACCAGAGACCAACAAGGTGAGACCAGAGACCAGCAAGGTGAGACCAGAGACCAACTAGGTGAGACCAGAGACCAGCAAGGTGAGACCAGAAACCAACAAGGTGAGACCAGAGACCAACAAGGTGAGACCAGAGACCAGCAAGGTGAGACCAGAGACCAACAAGGTGAGACCAGAGACCAGCAAGGTGAGACCAGAGACCAGCAAGGTGAGACAAGAGACCAGCAACGTGAGACCAGAGACCAGCAAGGTGAGACCAGAGACCAGCAAGGTGAGACCAGAGACCAACAAGGTGAGACCAGAGACCAGCAAGGTGAGACCAGAGACCAGCAAGGTGAGACCAGAGACCAGCAAGGTGAGACCAGAGACCAGCAAGGTGAGACCAGAGACCAGCAAGGTGAGACCAGAGACCAGCAAGGTGAGACCAGAGACCAACAAGGTGAGACCAGAGACCAACAAGGTGAGACCGGAGACCAGCAAGTTGAGACCAGAGACCAGCAAGGTGAGACCAGAGACCAGCAAGGTGAGATTAGAGACCAGCAAGTTGAGACCAGAGACCAACAAGGTGAGACCAGAGACCAGCAAGGTGAGACCAGAGACCAACAAGGTGAGACCAGAGACCAGCAAGGTGAGACCAGAGACCAGCAAGGTGAGACCAGAGACCAACAAGGTGAGACCAGAGACCAGCAAGGTGAGACCAGAGACCAGCAAGGTGAGACCAGAGACCAACTAGGTGAGATCAGAGACCAACAAGGTGAGACCAGAGACCAGCAAGGTGAGACCAGAAACCAACAAGGTGAGACCAGAGACCAACAAGGTCAGACCAGAGACCAGCAAGGTGAGACCAGAAACCAACAAGGTGAGACCAGAGACCAACAAGGTGTGACCATAGACCAGCAAGGTGAGACCAGAGACCAACAAGGTGAGACCAGAGACCAACAAGTTGAGACCAGAGACCAGCAAGTTGAGACCAGAGACCAACAAGGTGAGACCAGAGACCAACTAGCACCTTGCAGAGACCAATGAGGTGAGACCAGAGACCAGCAAGGTGAGACCAGAAACCAACAAGGTGAGACCAGAGACCAACAAGGTCAGACCAGAGACCAGCAAGGTCAGACCAGAGACCAGCAAGTTGAGACCAGAGACCAACAAGGTGAGACCAGAGACCAACTATGTGAGACCAGAGACCAACAAGGTGAGACCAGAGACCAGCAAGGTGAGACCAGAGACCAACTAGGTGAGATCAGAGACCAACAAGGTGAGACCAGAGACCAGCAAGGTGAGACCAGAAACCAACAAGGTGAGACCAGAGACCAACAAGGTCAGACCAGAGACCAGCAAGGTGAGACCAGAAACCAACAAGGTGAGACCAGAGACCAACAAGGTGTGACCAGAGACCAGCAAGGTGAGACCAGAGACCAGCAAGGTGAGACCAGAGACCAACAAGTTGAGACCAGAGACCAGCAAGTTGAGACCAGAGACCAACAAGGTGAGACCAGAGACCAACTAGCACCTTGCAGAGACCAGCAAGGTGAGACTAGAGACCAACGAGGTGAGACCAGAGACCAGCAAGGTGAGACCAGAAACCAACAAGGTGAGACCAGAGACCAACAAGGTCAGACCAGAGACCAGCAAGGTCAGACCAGAGACCAGCAAGTTGAGACCAGAGACCAACAAGGTGAGACCAGAGACCAACTATGTGAGACCAGAGACCAACAAGGTGAGACCAGAGACCAGCAAGGTGAGACCAGAGACCAACTAGGTGAGACCAGAGACCAGCAAGGTGAGACATCTCTGCAGTTCACATAAACAAAACCCACTGCTGCTAAATCTGTGCTCTTAATTCTTTCCTTCACCCTACAATAAAAATACATACATTGGACCATAAGCTAACCAATAAAGCATTGCCTTATTATCTGGAAAATACCATATTTATGTTTATATCAAGATAAGATAAGATACTTTAAACACAGAAATGTACAAAACCATGAGTTAGAAAAATAATGGTAGGTTTGACATGTTGAAAATGTCGAATTTAAGGACTAATAGGGCTTAATAAATGCCAAAGAAGAGCATATATAGCAGAAATGATACACCAATTAGTTTTAAATGATGCACTTAATTAGCCGTTAATCAGTGTCTAAACTAAAGTATGACCGCGTCTCGCTCAAGAGATGATCTGAAAAATACAAAGAGCAAAGATCTCACTTCCTCCCTTTGCTGTTGTCAGTAAAAATACATGTTATTGCTAAAGTTTACATCTGATATATTACGCAAGAGGCTGTTGGGTGGATGTGCTGAAGCTGAACTGTGACCTCATGCTAGCTAACGCACCGTGCTGTGTTGACTCCTGAACGCCGTGCTAGCATACGCACTGACATCTGTGTACATTCCACTGCCAAATACAGCGCACAACTCCTCTGTCGAGTCAAAGCTATGTGCGCTATGTAAGCTAGCTGATACCGTAGCAAACTGTTACAACTGTGGTGTCACACTCTTTTTGGTCTGAAAATATAGCACTGATTATGGGTTGAATCTTTTGTTTTGACTTGTTTACCAAAGTATCCATTGCTTTCTGATTGTAAGTTCAACTCAGTTTTAGCCTCTGTGGCTGTTTTTATATTTATTGTGAGTAATTTACTAAAGGATTCCTTTATAATATACAGTATTTTGTTTGTGTTGCATCTTACATTTCCCTAAGTGTTTTTATTTCACATGGGCTGCAGCTTTGGATTGTTTTTGTATTAGAGTGCACTACTATTGACACTGTTTCCAATTGACACTTGTCACTTTTGTTGTACATAATATCCTGCATGTAACATGTTTGCACATTTCCTCCTTTGCACAATCTGAGTGTCTCAAATGTCTCCCAAATGTGACATGTAAATTTCTCCTATGTGAGATAAATAAAGCACATCTTATCTTATCTTATCTTTATCTTATTATTAATTATTAGCTTTGATTCATCAAGTAATCTGTTAACACTTTTTTGCTTATCAAATACAGTACATGCCAAAAGTTTTGACACACTTTCTCATTCAATGAGTTTCCTTTCTTTTCATGACTATTGCCTGTAGATCCACACCAGGCTGTGTAAGGGCTGTTTGACCAATAAGGAGAGTGATGGTGCTGGGCCAGATGACCTCCACAGTCACCGGACCTGAACCCAGTCCAGATGGTTTTGGGGCTGGACCACAGAGTGAAGGCAAAAGGGCCAACAAGTGCTAAGCATCATGGGAACTCCTTCAAGACTGAAGACCATTTCAGGTCCTCTTGAAGCTCATCGAGAGAATGCCAAGAGTGAAGCAGTATCAGAGCAAAAGGTGCTGCTTTGAAAAACCGAGAATAAAACACATATTTTCAGTTGTTTCATTCTTTATTTTTTAGTAAGTACATAATTCCACATAAGTTAATTCATTGTTTTGAGGCCTTCAGTGTGAATCTTTAATTTTCATAATCACTAAAAAAAAAAACTTTCAATGAGAAGGTGTGTCAAAATGTTTGGTCTGCACTGTATATTTATCAAAAAGTATGAAGATAAGCAGTTTATGCGTTCAAAATAAGGTGCTTTCAGTGTTAATACTAACATGAATGCTAACATAAATGCTAACAGAAATACTTTTTGGTCTTTTATTTCCCAGATTTTCAACAGTCTCATCGAGCTGGTCACCTCCTGCGGGAACTACAGCCAGTACCGTAAACGTTTCTCGGATTGTTTGGGATTCCGCTTTCCGATTCTTGGAGTTCACCTCAAAGACTTGATCGCGGTCCACGTGGCGCTGCCCGACTGGACGGACAAGGAGAAGACGCGAGTGAACTTAGCTAAAACACAGCAGCTGTACGCTATTTTACAGGAGCTGGCGCTGATCCAAAACACGCCGCCCAATATTGACGCTAACACGGACTTGCTAAATTTGCTAACGGTAAGTTCCAACCAAAACACAATAATCATATATTTTATTTTCTCTATTTTTGTGGGAGATTGTTCATACTTGTATATATTATTAATGTATATTTTACTATGTTTTTATGTCTTTTTACCTCTTTGAATATAAAGCAGCTACCTAGCTTAACCTTCTGAGCCTCTGATATGAAAGAAGACACCATTCTCTTTTTACATTTATTTGTAAACGTTTATGAACCGCTTGTATCCGTGATCTTGTCCTTTCGGTCTTTACCCAAAGCTCATGACCAAGAGGTGAAGGTGAAAATTTTGATTGACAAGTAACTAGAGAGCTTTGACTGCAGACCTTGCTCCCTCTTCCTCCAAAAATACATGAACGTTTTGAGGATATATTTTGCTAGCATCATTCTGAAACCTCTGGGCATCATAGGAGTGGAAGGAATGGGGCTAAAAACACATAACGTTTAATAGATAGAGCCATAAAAATAGTTTCTGCTGACGTTACCAAGACGGAGAACAAAAATACTACTCTTCGTAATTCCTTCATAAATAAATTTCCGGTTTTTGATTTTCATATTATCATTCTGAAACCTATGCACACCATCTATAGCAGAGCAGAAAGAGTAGAGGCTTTGTAAAATAACTTTTTTCTTATGAGCACTGCAGGACATGGCACAGTATTTGAAATCACACCCTTTTATGCACATCTGCGACACGTCTGGTGAGAAAACAGCAGCTGTGCTAATGCTCTGCAGAGGAGCACAAGTGTTAAATATGTTTTGTTTTAGTCAGACGTGTGAAGAAGTGTGCGTCGGAAAGCCTCACCTCTCTCTGGTCTTTCTCTAATCTCTCTCTGGTCTCTTTCTGGTCTTTCTCTGTTGTCTCTCTCACTGCTCTCTCTGGTCTCTCTCTCTAGTTTTGTCTCTAGTCTCTCTGGTCTCTTTCTGGTCTCTCTCTGGTCTCTTTCTGGTCTCTCTCTGGTCTCTTTCTGGTCTCTTTCTGGTCTCTCTCTGGTCTCTTTCTGGTCTCTCTCTGGTCTCTCTCTAGTCTCTCTCTGGTCTCTCTCTGGTCTTTCTCTCTAATCTCTCTCTGGTCTCTCTGGTCTCTCTCTGGTTTCTCTCTAGTCTCTCACTAGTCTCTCTCTGGTCTCTCTCTGGTCTCTCTCTGGTCTTTATGTGGTCTCTCACTGGTCTCTCTCTGGTTTCTCTCTAGTCTCTCACTAGTCTCTCTCTGGTCTCTCTCTGGTCTTTATCTGGTCTCTCACTGGTCTCTCTCTGGTTTCTCTCTAGTCTCTCTGGTCTCTCTCTGGTGTTTATCTGGTCTCTCACTGGTCTCTCTCTGGTCTCTCTCTGTCTCTCTGGTCTCTCTGGTCTCTCTCTGGTCTCTCTCTCTAGTCTCTCGCTGGTCTCTTTCTGATTTTTCCGTCTGTTCTTAGAACCTCCAGCGTCGGCTAAGTACCAGTCAAAACTAAATCCGCTCCAATAGATGGACACGCTGTAGATCCTGGACTCAACCATCCTACTAAAAAAATCCCTGATAACACAGACGCATACCAAAATCAGTAATCAGTGGATTTTTTTCTTGCATCACATTTACCTACCACAGGTTATGCTATAAACCTGAAAAGGCAAGACAAGGGAATGTGTATAGCAAATGTCAATACACAGGAAAAAAAAAAACAAGAGAGGGGACTCTAATCATGCCGTAAAATCATAAATAGTAACAAAATATGAATTTAAAACCATTATAGAAGAAGAGCAGATACTATCCTTCAGTTTTATGCACATCTGACAGACTACACATGACTCAGAGACAGAGGACAGAGAGACAAGGGACAGATGGGATTGTTTAAAAGATAAGATAACCTCAAAACCTCAACCTCAAAATCAAACTGTCATTTCTCATTTTTGTGCTAAAATTATTAAATACAGCCCTCTGAGTATATCTGTGTTTCCATCAACCTTCGATTTCTTCGACAGTCTGCAGCCAATAGCTAATTATCTTCCGTCACTTTGCCTAACAAGAAACCGAGCACCTCCTTCGCCACCGGTTTGACCGACGCGATAACAACTGTCCTCTGCGCTTTTAAGATAAGATAAGATATACTTTATTGATCCCACAAAGGAGAAATGTACATGTCACATCTGGCATGGATAGAAACACTCAAGATTATGCAAAAAGAAAGAAATGTGTAAACATGTTAAAATGCAGGATATATTATGTACAATAAAAACTGGCTGTTTAAAAAGTGGCAATCAAGAAACGATGTCAATAGTAGTGCAGGTTTTTTATTTTTCAGTCTTAATGCAGTGACTTAAAGTGACTTGTTGTACAGTCTGACAGCGGTGGGGATAAAGGCCCTGCGGTAGCGCTCCTTCCTACACTGAGGGTGCCTCAGTCTTCCACTGAAGGAGCTCCTCAGCTCCTCTACAGTCCTGTGCAGTGGGTGGGAGGTATTGTTCATGATGGAGGTGGCTTTGGCTAGCACCCTCTTGTCCCTCACCTCCTCCACAGAGTCCAGGGAGCAGCCCAGAGTGGAGCTGGCCCTCCTGACCAGCTTGTTCAGTCTGTTTCTGTCCCGCTCTGTGCTGCCCGGGGCCCAGCACACGGCAGCGTAGTAAATAGCAGAAGCTACCACAGAGTCATAAAAAGTACTGAGCAGAGGCCTGCTCACTCCGAAGGACCTCAGCCTCCTCAGAAGGAAGAGGCGACTCTTGTACAGGGTGTTGGTATTATGGGACCAGTCGAGTTTATTGTTAATGTGAATGTGTCAATAAAATCAGGAAACTCAGTTAGTGAGAGAGAATACGAAGGAAGACGCGAGGGGATAATAACATATAAGAGCCACAAAGACAGGAAAGGTGGAAGTCCTGTGCTATTTTCAGGATTTGTGTGTTCTCCATGTGTTTTTGTGTGTAGAGGCCATTACTGTATGATAGCACAGAAGCTAGCTGGAGCTAAATTCCTTTAATAGGTATTTCTTCTGCTACATTAGCTTTGTACCTTGGATATCTTGGATGTATTGTTTGTGTGGATAGGGCTTTGCTACTTAAACCCGTCTCTACATGGACTAGAGGCCACCCACGGTACTACAGCTAAATGCCACATGGGCTGTTTAGAAAATGTTCCCTTAGACCTCAGTGTGAACTAAAATGGCCTGTCCTCAGCAGAGCATACAGCTTTCATAATGGTCCAGTTTTGTGGGGATTTTAGTGACTAAACTTTTATTCTTTTGAAATTTATTGGTTTCTATAAATCCACACTTTAGTGCCACAAACTTGTCTCTCTTTCTGGTCTCTCTCTGGTCTCTCTCTAGTGTCAGGGGCAGCCATCTTGGAAACCCGGGGCTTGGACATAACAGGGACAAGGAATTAAGTCACTATATCAACCAATAAGTTTATTTACAAGTTCTACCTATTCCAGTATTTACCCCAACTTTATGAAATGTACTTTGAATGATTTGCACTACCCTAATAATTTTCTATTGATTTGATTGATTTTTTTCATTCTTCCCATTCCAGGTGTCTTTAGACCAGTACCACACTGAGGAGGAGATCTACCAGATGTCTCTACAACGGGAGCCTCGCAAACCAGCAGCGGTAAAACAATCCTATCCTGACCCAAACAACCACATGTCTTTGTTCATTTAGTCGCTGGCTAGTCTGATATTGACTATTGTGTTTATTTGTCCTGTTGCAGCAGAACTCCAGCCCCACGCCGCCTCCGGAGCCCAAGCCCGCCATGATTGACCAATGGGGGGTCTCTGTCAAGCCCAACGCAGACCCGACAGTAATCAAGAAGCACATAGAAAAGATGGTGGAGGTGCGATAGCTTTGTGTGTGATGGCGGCGACCTGTCAAGTGTTGTGATGTCGCTCTGGTAACGGCAATCAGGGTAGAAGCAGCTATAAATGTATCGTGAAGGAACAAAACACAATACTCTGGGGATTGTCGTCGGATGGAAGGAGACAGCAGCTTTGTCTGAGACCCAATTAAGTGGTCTTCCCAAGCATGCCACTGGAAGAACCTTCAATGGGTCCAATAAAGCTCATTTACGAGACGTTCAAACCGCAAAATTCCAGCAAAGTAGTGAGTGAGGATTGTGTAAACCACCTGCATCGTGGTCAAACTCTCACACACTGATCATTTATTAGAAAGTATATATATTTTGTATAAAAGTAAGTTCATAATCAAAGCCGTAAGTTAGCTGTGCTGGCAGATGTGTCAACAGAGCCTCGGGTCAAATTGACATGCTAAGGTACTCTACATATTTTTTGGAGGATTTTTCCTAACTTGACCTGCCCTGGGTCATTTAGACCTATTTAGTTAGTTGTTTACTTGGATTTATGGTATTTTTTCTTTGGCTGTTAATCTTTGTGGTGGGTCATTTTGAAACAAAGATATAACAAGGGTTAAAGTTATTTTCAAACCAGATTTCAATCTCAATGTGTTCTTGTACCTAAATCACAACAGTAGTTTTCTAAGAGGACTGTTGAAATTGCCAACAAAGATCAGAGAATCAAACAGAACACTTGGTATTGGACCATATGGAGAGACCAATGTCCATGAATGTTGATAAATGTTGTAGAATTATAGAGTGTATAGATCATGACCACGGATCAGAGGAAAAACTCTTACACCCAGTGGGATCTTCCCGTTGACCACGGGAAGATCAACATTGAGAGAGGGATCCGGTCCACACGCACGGACGGGCTGTAGATCCAGGACCTAAGCTACAAAGTTTCATTTAAAAAAACTGTTTCAAAGAACTTTGAGGAGGAGAGAGAGTGACGCCTTCAGCACAGAGCGAGAGGTGAGAGAGGTGTAGGGTCAGAGAGTGTCTGGGCCTGTATCTGTGTGTGTTTTACCATATCCTGTTGTATTGTGTTATCATCCTGCTGTATTGATTTTGTATGGTTTAATTTGACGTTTTTGTTCCAATTTGTGATGAAAGCGTGAGCGAGGTTTGGAATGTCATAACTTGTCATAAAACTGTCTGTTTTAAAAGTATTGGGTTGATTATACTAAGAAGAAAAGATGAATCCTCCTAAACTGTCTGTTGTTTTGTCCTGTAAAAAATGCGTAGTACAGGTTTTTCAAATATAACATCTCGATTTGATTTCCCAGTCCGTCTTCAAGAACTTCGACACCGACGGCGACGGCCATATTTCCCAAGACGAGTTCGAAGTGATCCAGAACAACTTCCCCTACCTCAGCAAGTTCGGCGAGCTGGACAAGAACCAGTGAGAGACGCCTCATATGGATTTTGTTATTCGGTTTTAAATGAAGCGCAGAGATCTGTATCGACTCCGGTTCTCTGTGGCAGGGACGGGAAGATCAGCCGGGAGGAGATGATCGACTACTTCATGAAGGCTAGCTCGCTGCTCAACTGTAAAATGGGCTTCATACACTCGTTTACAGAAGCTACGTACGTCAAACCCACCTTCTGTGAACACTGCACTGGATTTGTGAGTACATTTAAATCAGTTTGTTCTTGTATAGATTAAGATTAAGAGATCCATTATTCATCCCATAGCGGGAAACAAGTTACAAAACAGAAGGAATGAGGAAACACATAGCACAAAATAAATGAGCAATAACTATACTTATTAATTATAATAAAACTACATCTATAACTCTTGCATCAAAGAACAAGTATGAAATCTCTATCTTGAACATAATGATAATAAGAGAAGTATAAATTTATAAACCTAAATTGAGGAAGTTGATTTGTAAAAACAACAGAATGAACTCAAATTTGAAATAATAAAAAAAAAACATGTAAACATACACATGTTTAAAAATAAAATCAAGGTAACAACAGTGAAAGAAAAGAAATGTATTATTAAAAATAGAATCATAATTTTGAAAAAAACAAAAAGATGAATGATTATATACATAAATACAGTTTAGTATTTAGTATTTTTTGTAGTGCTGCAGTCCATCTTAAATATTTTTTTTCTTTTAATATGCACATAAAGGCCAACACACACAACTTTTTAATGTCATTTTATTTTCATTAACTGTGCTTCTATAGCAGCGGGGCCATACTTGTTAGTAAGTAGTTCATCAGAGCTTTCTCGGGCTGTATTATAATTTTTTTGACTGGATTCAGGTTGTTGCATGAGGTTTGACAGAGCTGAAGTTGATTGAATGACAAATACTTACCATCTACTGCTTACTGCTAGCGCTATCTACGCAATTTTGTGACTCAAGCTAAAATAGCTGTACTGTACATTCGAATACCTCTAAAGAATGCTAGAGGTTCTGAGCTTTACAATAAGGTGTGCTGAAGTTGGCTGGATGACACTGTGAACTAGTATTTATGATCTCAAAAACTATGTAGTGTTAGCAAGGCAGAGGGCCACATATAATAACACAGAGGGCCGCAATTGGCTCGTGGGCCTTAGTTTGGACATTCCTGTTCTATAGCCTCATTCCCACTGCGCAAAAAAAAGGAAGTTAAACCAAAAACGCACTTAACCTGCCTGGTGAACCTACTTTTTCTGTTGTAGCTGTTGCTTACACATGGGTCAGGTGAAGATGGTTCCCTACATATAAGAAAGTGCACTGCTATTTAAATGAACCACACTGCAAAAATTGACGAAAAATAATGTCTCAAAATTAAAGTAGCAATATGCAAAATGTTCATGTCAAGTCATCATTAAAGGGCCCTACGGTGGCTGAGCGGATAGCACTCTCGCCTCTCAGCAAGAAGGTGCTGGGTTCGAATCCCAGACGGTCGGGTCCAGGGCCTTTCTGAGTGGAGTTTGCATGTTCTCCCCATGTCTGCGTAGGTTTCTTTCGGGTACTCCAGTTTCCCTTACCACTAAAAACATGTACAATAGGACTGTGCATGCGCCTCCTGTTCGACGACCCCGCTCCCATCTCTGTGTGGAGTGAGAGGACAATGCCCAAAAATAACAATTGTAACCGCTTTGTGACTCTGGTCTGTGAAAGGCGGTATATAAATATAGATTACTTACTTACTAATCCGTCAAAAGGCATTAATAAAACATGGTCTATTCAAATACTTCTTTAACTGATTACAATAGTTTAGAGATATTTAATTTCAGAATTACATTTACAGCTGTCCCTCCCTCCACCGTTTTAACCAATCACAAAGTCTGTGATCCGGGCGAATGTGTTCAAATTCAGATAAAAACTACTCGATTAAGTATTTATCACCTCATATTTTATCATTTTTTGCAGTGTAGTCATCATTTACCATCAGCCACATAAAAACATTTAGGTAGTTAGACAGTAGTGTATATAAGATTTGCATATTCGCAGCCCTCCGCTCGTCTCCATAGCAACTTCCACTGACAGAGCTCCCATGTCTGGACCATGATCTGGTATCGATTGTCGTTGTATTTACTCACTGCCGCAGTCCGTAGCAGCCTCTACATAACGGCCGTCGTCTCTCCGTCGACCACCGCCGTCCACAATTACCCTGACTTACGGCTACTGCATTCTGGGAAATGCACAGAGAGGTAATTGGGCGAGATGATAGGTCTGGTGTGCGGCGTCCCAGAAGAGGCCTGCGTCATTCTCCGACATTCGTCATGAGCTGTAGAGGGTTGTCCGGGGATGTGCAAAATGTCACTAAGGTTTTTTTAGAACTTGCTAAAGAGGTTCATGTTTTGGTTTCATTTCATGTCAAATTATAGAAGTCTCTCGAAGCAGAAAATGACTATAATTCAGTTTAATATTCATGGCTAAAGCTGTGTCCACACTGCAAAAAATGAAAAAATATGAGACGAAAAAGGCTTGAATTGAGGGGTTATTTTAACCTTAAAAGTATTGGGTTCTTCTAAAACAGACAATATAAGGTTTTGGGTTATGTTATGTTACTACCTTTGTTATCTTTATCTTTTAAGTTCAAGTTTTCATCTTAACTTAAGTACATTCTCACTGTCTTAAAGCAAGATTAACCAATGGGACGAAGCCGTTTAGTCTTATTGCAAGATCTGTTGCTTTACTTTCTCATTCATAGTTAGACATTTCTTGTATCTTTTTAAAACACCTTTGGCAAATCTGGTTTTAAGGCAGTCAAAATGTGCTCACAATTTTAATGTTGTACTTACTTTTCATCACTTTTTGTAGTGTGGTACATACTTAGGCACTCTTGCACAGTTTTTCCAATGTTGTTTTACTGCAAATGGCAAATAAACTGAATCTTTATTTTAGATCAATCACATGATAAATTGATCTCATGTAATAAAGCCTTGGTGTTTGGACGGTTTTAGATTTATACAGATCTGATGTTAATGTGAGTTGATTCTCTCTCTCTCTCTCTCTTTCTCTCTGGTCTCTCTCTCTGTCCTCTCTCTGGTCTCTCTCTCTGTCCTCTCTCTGGTCTCTCGCTCTCTCCTCATTCTTTTCACACTCTTCAGTTCCATCCATATCTCTCTCCAAACTCCTTACTCCTCTCCTCTCATCCCTGTCTTTCCAAATGTATTGTGCTCATTGTAATTAATCAACAAATCACTTTTAGCCCAGAACCTCACGCTCATAGTTTGACTTTGTGTTTGACTTTGATTGTTTGACTCATTTCTGGGGTTAAATTCTTCCAACATAATAATAATAATAATAATAATGCATCAGTTTTATACAGCGCTTTTTTGGACGTTCTTCCAAACAACACGCCAACCTTTCCCACTGCTGTCCTAGAAGGCCTCCTGACTGTTGCCTTCTTGTAACTTCCTCATGCTCTGTATGCGTTCTGTTTTAAAGACTTAATTCGATTCCCCGTCCCACACTCCTCTACTGAATCACTGTTGATGTCATTTGGGGTTTTTTTGGCACACGGCCCAGCTCTGCCAGAGGATGTGCCGCCAGGACTGTGGGAAAATACAGATGGACTTTAGCTTTATTTTCACTTTTGCTGCAATCCCATCAACAATATGTTAGATATATGTTCATAGACGTGTAGTGTCCCAGTCAAATGAATAAAGAAATGAAAAAAGATTAGATGTAAGCCGAACGACTGCTTTATAATCCATAGGAGAGGTCTGACAGACACACATTCACTCAGACAGGACATAGACCCAAACACTCTCTGACCCTACACCTTTCCCCCATCACTGAGTGTACAATGGGGACAAAAGACCTGGAACAACATGTCTCTTTCGTCCTCATGGTTCTGATGGACTTCCCCTCTCAGGATCTCTGGAATCTAGTTGGTGACTTTGTTTGACTGGTCTCTCTCTGGCCTCTCTCTGGTCTCTATCTAGTCACTTTCTCTGGCCTCTCTCTGGTCTCTCTTTCTGGTCTCTCTCTGGTCTCTCTCTCTGGTCTCTCTCTCTGGTCTCTCTCTCTTGTCTCTCTCTCTTGTCTCTCTCTGGCCTTTCTCTGGTCGCTCTCTGTTCTCTTTCTGGTCTCTCTCTGGTCACTTTCTCTGGTCTCTTTCTGTTCTCTTTTTGGTCTCTCTCTGGTCACTTTCTCTGGTCTCTTTCTGGTCTCTCTCTGGTCTCTCTCTGGTCTCTCTCTGGTCTCTCTCTCTGGTCTCTCTCTCTCTGGTCTCTCTCTCTCTGGTCTCTCTCTGGTCTCTCTCTGGTCACTTTCTCTGGTCTCTATCTGGTCTCTCTCTGGTCTCTCTCTCTGGTCTCTCTCTCTCTGGTCTCTTTCTGGTCTCTCTCTGGTCTCTCTCTCTCTGGTCTCTTTCTGGTCTCTCTCTGGTCTCTCTCTGGTCTCTCTCTCTCTGGTCTCTATCTGGTCTCTCTCTGGTCTCTCTCTCTCTGGTCTCTATCTGGTCTCTCTCTGGTCTCTCTCTCTCTGGTCTCTTTCTGGTCTCTCTCTGGTCGGTCTCTTGTCTCTCTCTGGCCTTTCTCTGGTAGCTCTCTGGTCTCATACTGGCCACTCTCTCTGGTCTGTCCCTTTTTTCTATCTCTGGTCTCGCTCTCTGTTCTCTCCCTTTTTTCTCTGTAGTCTCTCTTTCTGGTCTCTCTCTCTGGTCTCTCTCGCTCCCTCCCTCTCTCTCTTTCTCTAGTTTCTCTCTTTGTTCTCTCTCTGGTCTCTATCTCTCTCTTTCTGTCTGGTCTCTCTCAGGTCTCTCTCTGGTCTCTCCCCTCATTCTCTTCACACTCTTCAGTTCCAGCCTCAGAGAGATCAGTGCAGACTTCACCTCCTTTCATTTTAATATTGCGCTGCTGCTGTTTCTCCAATTAATGTTTCAGTTTTTATGAGCTGCCAACACAGATATTACAATTAGCTGTGTGTGAAGTGTGTGTGTGTGTGTGTGTGTGTGTACGTGTCTGTCTTTGTGTGTGGATGTCTGTGTATCTGGCTCTGTGTGTGCATGTGTCTGTGTGTGTGTCAGTGTCTGTGTATGTGTGTGTGTGTGTTGTAGAATAAGAGCCTAATAAGTGTTTACCATCCCATTCTCAAGCTATTTTTCTATTTGATTTGTAACCTGTTTTTATTGTATTGTATTGTATTATAAGTCGCAAGAAATCTAGGTTTATAGGTTAAATAAAATATCCTGGAGTTTGTGAGTCTCAGCAGAAGTGGAACGTGCTGCAGATGGATGTGACAGAAAGTGTTGAAACAGACTTTGGAAATGGCCGTCAGAGCTCGGTTCTGTCTCCGCGGGAGTCTTCCTGCTTCATTGTTTTTTAGATTGACCGTCTGCTGCAAAGGTCAGTCTGTGTGTGTCGGTTTGAGAGTGTGTATGTGTGTGTGTAGGTGTATGTGTGCGTGGGTGTGTGTGGGTTTTGAGAGTGTGTGTTTGTGTGTATGTTGGTTTGAGAGTGTGTGCGGGTGTGTGTGTTTCGGTTTGAGGGAGTGTGTGTTTGTCGGTTTCAGAGTGTGTGTAGGTGTGAGAGTGTGTGAGTGAAAGTGTGTATGAGAATGTGTGTGTAGGTGTACGTGTAAGTGTAGGTGTTTTACAGTATATGCATGCCTGTGTGTATTTATGTGCGTGTGTTGGCCTATATGTGCGTATATACGTATTTATAGGTGTCTTTGTTTGTGTGCCTGTGTGTGCGTGTGCATATGTGTATATATGAAGCGAGAGCATGTGTGTGTGTTTTCTGGTGTGCCTTTTTACATATGCTTGCCTGTGTGTAGATGTACCCGTATGTGTGTGTGTGTTTGTGTGTACCTACGTCTGTTTAGGTGTGTGAGTGTGTTCGTGTGTGTGTCCGTGTGTGCGTAGAGGTCAGGATATTCTCTGTCCCTCAGATCTAGTCCTTTTAAGTCTTTCTTCCCCACTGGTTCTCGTCCCATTGAAGTCTCTGCCCAATGGACTCCGAGCCTATGTCCACAGCTTTCACAAATATCTCTGACCAGGACTGTTGCTATCGTGGGTTAGCCTTACCGCACAACTGCCTGGAAACCCTGGCCGAAATTTTGGCACAGATTTGGGGACCAATCACAGAAAGGGGAAGGGCTGCAAGACAAAAATGACACATTATTGGACAAACGTTAGATTTGAGTTTGTTTACAGATCCAACATGACAGCGGATGCAAAGCTATCTTTTCTCATGTTCATAGACCCGACCCATTGTGGAATCCTCATTTTTTGTCTTATTTTCTTCTTCCCTTTTTTCTTAAAATTCTGAAAAACAGCAGACATTATAAGGTAGAATTGATATTGATTGGTGCATACGTTCAGACACATATGATAGATTTGTAGCGGCCTACACGAAAATGAGTGGAGGGTTCCCAGACTAAATATTCACCTGATATTTAGGGGTGTTAGCCAGGTTTATTTATTATTATGGCACAGTTCATCAAGGCAACTCTATGTACTTTATATACAACAAAATATGACCAACCATACAAGGCATAGATAATAACATGACGTTAAAAAGAATAAAGATACAATCCTTCAGTTGCAGCTACATAGAACTGTTTTTAACCTGGATTTTAACATTGTAGAAGCCTGTCTCACATTTTCAGAGAGACTGGTTCAGATTTTAACTGTGAAAATCTCCTAATGTTTAGTGTTGACTCTGGGTACCAGCGGGAGGCCAGTCCTTGTGCTCCTCAGAGTCCCAGCAGGAGGCCAGTCCCTGTGCTCCTCAGAGTCCCAGCAGGAGGCCAGTCCCTGTGCTCCTCATGGCGCTAACAAAACAGATACAGATAGGTATTATATTACACATGTATAATCCAGCCCTTTCAAGCCTTATGTTGAATAGCCTTTTGTTTATTTCAAATTGAAATCCAAACATAAGTTGCGGGTCTGAGTTTAGTCACTGTTTCTAAGCCTGGATTTGTTCCATTAATAGCATTAATTTCCCAGATCTTTCAGACCTGTAAAAACACCATATCCAACCCAACATATGCGCTAACTTTATAATATATCATTCTACGTATTGTCTTTGTATTGTATTTTGAAAAACCCACACCAAATTACGTCCATGATTAAATCCAAGCAGATCAGCAGACATGTATGAAGTGTGCGAACCATGAAGCCGCAGAGCCGAACACTGATTGAAGCACCCTCAACGTGCAATTCAAACTTTGTGTTTTGCTAAATTAACATCTTCTTGGGTAAATGTAGTGTGTACGAGATTTGTTTTTGAGAATGAGTTGCTCTTCAGATGTAATGGAAAAACAGATGAATCCTCGAGCTCAAGAGCTGGAGACGTCTTTAAGCAGTAATCGTGATGTTCCTTTAGGGCGGGCGTGGCCAAACTCAGGCCCCAGGAGCGGTTACGGCCATTGTAAATATCTCCAGTGTGAGATCAATAAAGCCTATCTTCTCTATCATAGAAACACAAGTACACAGTGTCATCCAGCCAACTTCAGCTCAGCCAATATCCGGTTGTTGACTTTGTCTGACAGGTCTCTCTCTGTGGTCTCTCACTGTGGTCTATCTGTGGTCTCTCTCTTGTCTCTTGTTGGTCTCTTTCTCTGGTCTCTGTTGTTTCCCATTGGTCTATCTTTGGTCTCTTTCTGGTCCCTCTCTGGTCTCTTTCTGATCTCTATCAGGTCTTTCTCTGTCCTCTCCCTGGTCTCTTTCTTTTCTTTCTCTGGTCTCTCTCTAGTCTCTCTCTAGTCTCTCTCTAGTCTCTCTCTGGTCTCTCTCTGGTCTCTCTCTAGTCTCTCTCTAGTCTCTCTCTGGCCTCTCTCTGGTCTCTCTCTGATCCAGTTTTGTACATTTATTTTTGATTATATAACACTTATGTATCTGGTGAGTGAACGTTTATCATTCAGCCAACTTCAGTTTCGTCAAACGTGAACCGATATAGACATGTCATACCTCATTTTAAAGCTCAGAATCATATCAATCCATGTTTTTGGCTACTAGATTTGTGCATATTTCTGTCTCTGCAGATATGGGGTTTCTACAAGCAAGGCTACAAGTGTAAAGGTAAGATACTGGTTCTACTGCAGTTCTACTCTCCAGCCGCAGGTGGAAACAAAATGTATTCAAATGGATTCTCATTATTATTATTAGTCATTATTTCAAACACAGACGGTCCATAGACATGAGTAAAGACAGGACAAAAACAAACAAAGACATTAGACGCCAGTGAGTCTGCATACTTTAAAATATATCAGACTTGGACTTGGACTTGGAGCCGGATCAATCAGAGTCGAGGTGACACTGGATCGACTGGTTCAGACATAATGTTGATATGGCTTAAGTTAAGTTTATATAAGCCTTAGTTATTTATACATCAGACTATGTAAGACTGCAAGACGTGATGAAAAATAAGTCAAAAATGGCTAAAATTTGGAAAACGGTATGTTCATTTGAGAATGTTTTGACTGCCTTAATGCAAGAAATGTCTCTCTTGGAATGAACAAGTAAAGCAGCAGTTTTTGAATACCTTTTATAAGACTGTTCAATCTGATTTCCAGTGTATTATCATTCTTTTGCAGTTCATCTATGCATTTCTTTGCAGAACCCGAACCCAAAAACAAAATGTAAAAACTGTCAATTTACGTTTACAATCCACTGCTATAGTCTCGACCCAAGAGACAAGCTTATACTTTTCAAATTCGACTGAAATAAGCTTGTCACCTCCGCCAAACATAGGACAATTCAATAATATATGCCTTTGATGACAAATGCTATATGTGAAGACGTTTAGAACATGACCCTCTTTAAATGTTATATAATTATAGTTATAGAGGATTATGGGATTAAGGTCACCCAACTAAGACTGCTTTTAATTAGACCAAAATTCTAATTCTTCTTTGCTTCTTCAGAGGGACAAATCCTAAAACATATACAGTCTCACACATTACTGCTGGTTCATGCTGTTTATTAGTTAAAGGTGAAATAGTTGTATGTATATTTTGGTTTTGGTGTTTCTGGTTTCTCGCTCTCTGTTCTGTCTCTCTGAAATCTGTTGTTTCTCTTTGTTCTCTTTTTTGTCCCTGGTGGCTTTTTGCTCTCTCACAGGTCTCTCTCCTTTTTTTATCTGATTTTTCTCTGGTCTCTCTTTGCTCTCTCTCCCTCTCTCTCTAGTCTCTCTGATCACTCTCTGCTCTCTCTCTGGTCTCTCTTTGCACTATTTATCTCTGCTCTCTCTTGACTCTCTCTTGTATCTCTATGGTCTCCCTCTAGTCTCTCTCTAGTCTCTCTCTGGTCTCTCTCTGGCCTCTCCAGTCTCTCTTTGGTCTCTCTCTGGTCTCTCCCGGGTCTCTCTCTGGTCTCCCTCTTGTCTCTCTCTGGTCTGGTCTCTCTTTGATCTCTCTCTGGTCTCTTTCTGGTCTCTCTCTGGTCTCTCTCTGGTCTCTCTCTGGTCTCTCTCTGGTCTTTCTCTGGTCTCTCTTTTATCTCTCTCTCAGGTCTTTGAATTTGAAGTAGAATTTAGTTTGGACCTGGTTTCAATTTTGCAGAATAGTTTTCATTTTCGAGTCTGACATGATTGGGTCCATTCTCTTCTTCTGCAAATACAGTTTCTTACATTTAATGTATCATTTATCAGCGACTGTCATCTTTGCCTGAGCTGCTATTTAAAACCTGAGCTAACACCTCTATCTCCAAAACACACAGAGAACTCCACACACACTCACTTGCCTTTCTCCATAGACTCGGCCGTTGTTTGACCAGACGCCTTCATTCTTCTGCACACAGAGGCCGATACTCCATACGTCTGGTTTTCATGTGCAGTAATAGACAAAGTATAGGTGTTAAATGTTATAAAAATAGAAATTCTGTGGTCTCTTTCTGATCTTTCTCTTGTCTCTCTCTGGTCCCTCTCCGGTCTCTCTTTCTGGTCTCTCTCTGGTCTCTTTCTCTGGTTTCTCTCTCTGGTCCATCTCTTGTCTCCCTTGAGTCTCTCTTTGCTCTCTCTCTCTCTCTGGTCTCTCTCTTTAGTCTCTCTCTAGTCTCTCTTGGGTTGCTCCTTGCTCTCTTTTATATTGTTGTTTCCTTAACACCTTTCTAAGTGTCACAGCCTTCACTAATCATAACATCATCATCATCCCCATATATCCATACATTTATAATGTATTTATCATATATATTGAACACAATAATTAAATAGGTCTATAAATGTCACATATATAGATATATTATTTAATATAATAATTGCTTCTGGTTTATGTGAGTTAAATTTGAAAATTGGTGTAAGGTTTTGTTGTGATGGTGTGCTATACGCAAATTGATTTGGTTTGATTCCAAAACAGTTGTGTGTGTGGTGTGACGCATAAGGCTGCAGTCCAGGTGTGTGAGGCAGACAGGCTCATTCCACTGGGTTCATTTCACATGGGTTTAGAATTAAAAAAAAGGAACGCGCTAACATGGCCTGACATCAGACCAGTAACGTAGCAACAGCGGTAATTAACGGGGCCCAGGTGGAGGAGAGATCAGGGAAAAGATGACAGGCCAACGGGCTGGAGCCGCTGACTGTAGGTCGGAGTTTCATAAGCGCAAACTGGGTTTCTGTAGTGGTCAGTCTAGAATCTGAAATATACATAAGAGAGATGGATAGATACTTTATAAATCTCTGCCGGGAAGTCCGGGGTCCAGCAGCAGAAACACAACCATACAAACAAACAAATAGTAAGTAAGGTTTATTTATATAGCGCCTTTCACAGACCAGAGTCACAAAGCGGTTTACAATTGTTATTTTTGGGCATTTGTTTCTCACTCCACACAGAGATGGGAGCGGGGCCAGTACAGGAGGCACATGTTTTCAGTGGTAAGGGAAACTGGAGCACCCGGAGGAAACATACGCAGACACAGGGAGAACATGCAAGCTCCACTCAGAAAGGCCCTGTTTCGACCGGGATTCGAACCCAGGACCTTCTTGCTGAGAAGCGAGAGTACTAACCACTCAGCCACGGTGCCGCTCAAATACAGTAAATCCATCAATCTAAAAAGTGATTAACAATAGTGATAAAGTGCAGCGAAGGAGGTGGGAAATTGTGTTTTGCTTCAGCTTCGTGGATCGCTTCCATAAATAAGTCCTCTGTACTTGCTACCAATTTATTTTTTTGCGATGAGACAAAATTAATTCACACCTTTCACCACTTTGACTTATCGATTTTAGGCCGTTGAGATTCTGCTCTGTCAATTACAAGTTTAATATTTTTTTTTATCTTAGTAACGTCCTTGGCTAGTGTTAGCATGATATTCTATAGTCAATTTTAGATAAGATATAGCATGTCGATGATATATATCAAGTTATATTTGGCAAAATTAATTGGTGGCTGAGACCAGACTGTAACTTCTAACAAAAATCAGCACAAAATTATGAAATATTGTCCGATTATTGATGTCTTGGGAAACTTCAAAATCAAAGTTTATCTTATCTTAAAACCGCTCATTCCCAAGTCGTGACCATTTGTATTTTGCTCCACGTCCCTCCTTAGACCTCTCCAGCCTCTCTAAGCTAATCCCCCAGAGCGTTGGCCTCACCTCTCGCCTCTCCGACTGCTCGTGCTCCTGTAGCCGCAGCTGCCCCGCCTCAGCCCCCGCACGGTCTTACCCTTTGGTCCCCACCATGTTCAAACCTCTGTCTGACCTTCCTTCTTCTCCTTTCTGTCTCCTGTCCCGCCACCGCTCCCTGCCCCTGCCGTGCCTGCCCCGCCTGACCCCGGCCCTGTCCCGGATGCGCTCGCTGCCCTCCTTCCTGGCGCCCCCTGCAGCCTGCGGCGTGAACTGCCACAAGTCGTGCCGCGGTCGTCTGGCGGTGGAGTGTCGGAAGAGGACCAAGAGCATCAGCCACGAGACGCCACCAGCTCTGTCGGCGAGGTCCTACAGCTTCCCCCCGCCGGCAAACAGCCCGTCCAGCCTCCAGGACACAGGTACCAATGCTCAATGACAATGGTACAAGTTGTTCACTGAGAGACACGACTATAACACAGAGATATCGCACTTTGTATGTTTGGATTTCCCTCCTGCTTATCCCTCCAGATGTTTTTTTTTTGGGTTGGGTATCCCTGAGTCCCAGCAGGAGGCCAGTCCCTGTGCTCTTCAGAGTCCCAGCAGGAGGCCATATTACTGTAATATGTAGTGAGGTAATTGAGTAGACTGCAAAAAATGGTAAAACATTTGGTAATAATTGCTTAAATCGAGGGGTTTTCGTCTCATTCTGACTTTTTAAAACTAAATTTTCCAATGGGACAAAGTCATTTAGTCTATTCCAAAGGAGACACTCTTTTTAAAACAACACAATTCTTCTTTGTCCCGTTGGAAAATCTAGTTTTCAGGCTCACTCAGATTGTACTCAGATCAAGACTGTTTCAGCCAAATTTGTTCAATTTTTTGACTTATTTTTCATCACTTTTTGCAGCGACCGAAACTATTCTTGCTGATAACATGATCCCTAATTGGAGTGGAACGTTCCAGACACCAGAATCTTGTTCCGAAAGCGTTCTTGTTGTTATCATAAAACTCTCAGGCGCACTCTCCCTAATTGACGCAGCGCGGAATGAGCTGCACTTGGGAACAGAAGGGCACTCAAGCCTCCTCCCGCTCGCCTCCCGCCTCCTCCAGCCTCTCCTCGCGCGCTGACATTTCCAGCACCGGGCCCTAACAATACAGCCCCATCTGCATTGGTAATGTGATGGGCCCACTGCAGCGCGCCCGCCGTGTTTCTGCTCGCCGCCAGAATGTACCGGAATGTAACAAAATGTGCTCCTTTGAGTTGTGTTTGATTGTATAGACCACACAGATGTCGGCCCCAACTCTGCTCCCACTCTCTGGAACTCTCTCCCGCCTCCACCTCAGAAACTCGGACTAACTAAACTCTAAACAACTCTGTAAAAAAGAAATCGACTCTTAGTTTCAGAATTGCACTCTTCTGTCCTGGTTTTAGATTTTCAGTTTTGTGTGTCTGTCCTGAACTGTGTCTGTCAAAATGTGTGTGTCCTGAATTTATTTGTCAGCGCTATATAAAGCCTACCCTCATTTATTCGGTACACCTTGCTAGTTCTGGGTTGGACCCCCCTTTGCCTTCAAAACTGTCTTAATCCTTCGTGGCATAGATTCAACTGGACACTTTTGGTTCATACATGATTAGTTTGTGCAGATTTATCGGCTGCACATAGATGATGCTCCGGTTCCATCCTTTCCTCCCCATTCTGATGGTTTGAAGTGCAGCAGATCGTCTTGACCATGTCTACAGCCTAAATGCATTGGGCTGTCATGTGATTGGCTGATTAGGAATATGCATTAAAGGAGCTATTGTATACCCGTTTCTGCAAGGTTTGAATGTTTAGCCCCGCCCCCAACTCACTCACAGGCTTCTCATTTCCCCTACGCTCTCATCCCACGGAGCCATCTAGTTTTATTTGCGATCTGATACATATGCTAACATTTGCATTAGCGCAAGTTCTTGTAAGCTGTACAACAATCACTGATGAAATGGTACAAAAGAAACGCACTGCTAACAAATATAGAACTGAAAGATTCCGCGGCCGAATGTAGTCCGAGCATAAATAGTCCGAGAGTAGATAGTCCGAGGCGGTCCCGCAGGTCTCTCCCATAGACAAGTCTCTCCAGAGGATTCTCGTATCCATCTTCCGTATTTATGTTCTTCCGTTCCTGCTATTTCTGTGTTGCGTTTCGGCGAATTGTTACAGATGAAAAGAGTTTTGTGTGTCTTTGTGGCTGCAGTCATCGAGGAGGAGGATCTGGAGGCGGTGGAGGAGGGCGTGTTCGATGTGCACCTATAACACGGTGAGAAGGACTGGGATGGGACGGTCTGGACCTGGGAGAAAAGGTGAGGATCCAACAAATGCAAATCAATCCTTTGTTTTGTGTTGTCCTCGATCACAGCAGAACACAGACAAACTGTTACACACACTTTGAACAGAAAATACAATACTAACAAACATGTAGGCGGGAAAACCTCTGTCTGTGTTTATAGATGTCTCTGTGCTTTGTCCGCTCTCTTCCTCTCCTCTCTCCTGTGTCCTCTGTATTCTCTCCTTTCTCCTCTCCTCTCTCCTCTTCCCTCTCTTCTCTCCTCTGTCCTCTCTCCTCTCCTTTCTCCTCTCCTCTGTCCTCTCTCCTCTCCTTTCTCCTCTTCTCTGTCCTCTCCTGTGTCCTCTGTTTTTTCTCTTTTCTCCTCTCTCCTCTCCTCTCCCCTCTCTCTTCACTCCTCTCTCATCTCCTCTCCCCTCTCCTCTCCTCTCTCCTCTCTTCTCGTCTCTCCCCTCTCTTCTCTCCTCTATCCTCTCTCCTCTCTTCTCTTCTGTATCCTCTCTCCTCTTTCCTCTCTCCTCTTATCTTCTCTCCTCTTTCCTCTCCTCTCTTCTCGTCTCTCCCCTCTCTTCTCTTCTCTCCTCTTTCCTCTCTTCTCTGTTTTCTCTCCTCTTCTCTCTCCTCTCTTCTCTATCCTCTCCTCTTCTCTGTCTTCTCTCCTCTCCTTTCTCCTCTCTCTCCTCCGTCATCTCATAATTCATTCATTATTTGTCGCAAACACATTCTTGTTAAATACAACCAGAGGTGGAAAAAGTCCTGTTCTTAGCTTCTAAAAAGTATAGAAATTAATTAAATGTATCTGTAGTTTTCATTTGTAAGTTGTTCAAGCCTGTTTCTACGTCATGTCGTCATCTGTAAAGTCATTTTAAAATATAAGGAGGAGAAAGGAAAGATATTTTGGGGTTTAAAAGTGTGGAGTCAAAGTCAAAAGTTTTGAGAAACATGAGAAAATTAAGTCACACAGAAACCAGGACTAACTACAGTAATAAAATACTTCAAATATCTGCTCATTGTTTGTCATAACCATAGTTCAATAAAATCCAAAAATCATTCAAAAGAGGTTCTAACAACAAAACAACTGCGAAATCCAATTCAAAGGTCAAAGATCCAGTTGAACCGAACACCCGCGATCTGCAATTATCCAGAAAGGCTCTGACACAAAGAACAAATATGAATGTTTTAGTGAACGACATAATTACAGACCACAGCCGCAGAAAAACACATCAATGACTCCATCTTATTTGTTTTTAGAATATTTACATTTGATCTACAGCCTCAGTCCTGGATCTACAGCCTCAGTCTTGGGTCTACAGCCTCAGTCCTGGATCTACAGCCTCAGTCTTGGGTCTACAGCCTCAGTCCTGGATCTACAGCCTCAGTCCTGGATCTACAGCCTCAGTCCTGGATCTACAGCCTCAGTCTTAGGTCTACAGCCTCAGTCCTGGATCTACAGCCTCAGTCTTAGGTCTACAGCCTCAGTCCTGGATCTACAGCCTCAGTCTTAGGTCTACAGCCTCAGTCCTGGATCTACAGCCTCAGTCCTGGATCTACAGCCTCAGTCTTAGGTCTACAGCCTCAGTCTTAGGTCTACAGCCTCAGTCCTGGATCTACAGCCGTGCTGTTGAGGAATCTACAACTTAGTAAAGTCCTCTAAGGCGACCGCTGTTGTGTTATAAACAAATAAATTGAAATAGAATGGACCCTCACATGCGTCTCATTTCAGTATAATATATATTTCATCCCTTGTGGCTAATTCTGATTGATACGAGTCTTCCATCTCCCAGTCCAGCCCACAGCGTCGCTAATGTCTCTCATTACTAATCGGCCAAAACCAAAACCGATTTCCCCATATACATCATTTGTCTTTCGCATGATATCCTAAAGGTTTTTACATCTTTCACACAAATGCCTTTTTAATAGATTCCTCACAAAGCCGAGGCACCTGTGTCGCCCCTGATTAATTGTGATTTTGTTTGTTGATTGGTAGATTTGCAAGAAAGCCACGGAGCGTTTCTTAACCCACAGAGAGAGAGAGAGGAGACCACGGCAGCAGCGAGCGTGGAGAGAGCGCCCCCCAGTGGACTTTGAATGACAGTGCAGACACAAACGAGTGGATGTTTGTCTGGTTTACGGGCTCAGTTTTTAATTTATGGGAAAGAGGCTGTTTTAGACGGGAGTAAGACACATTATTGTATGTTTAAAGGTCTTATTCCATGCTAGTAGTTTGCTGTTTTAAGCTGTTTTTGAGTTTTTGTAATCAGAGTTTTTGATTATGTGTGGTTTTTTTACTTGCAAACTCACATCTACTACAAAAACATTGCTCTTGAGGTCACTACGTCTGTCATAATAGTTACTAAATCTACTCATTGTTCAATAACTTATGGATGAAACTAAATAATTCAGGCCTAATTCATTATATTCTGTCAATTTTCGTGATTACTTACTTACTTACTTACTATTAGATTTCTGCCATTTTGTTAAAAAAAGTGACGTTTTAGCTGTAAAGTTAAATGACCTAGTAATTATCTCATTGTGGAAACATCTTAAAGATGCACTAAACCCTAAAAGTATCAAGTTATCATGTGTTTTCAAATAGTAATGGAATTGACCCGATGTCTATAGTCTCCAAACATGAATGCAAAATATTTTGGAGTGGACCGATAAAAATAAACCAAAGGGATTCATTCATCCCCTTCACCCTCTTCCTGTTTCTCGCGAGTGCACCGGAGTTATCAGATTTTCTAAAACTTAAAATGGCTGGACAGAAAATGCCAATTTCACGTTTGCCGCCCACTCTCCCTGTTGTGAAAAGAAAAGAAAATGCTGGATGTTTAGTTTGGTGGAGAGGGAGGGGAGGGGGAGTGGTTTTGAGTTGGTGCTACGGCTAAGCTAACAACATCACTTACTGCACCTTTAAATATGACTTAGTTCCCCTGTGTATTTTAGGAGCCATTTTGAATGATATTGGTAAATGAAAATTTTATATTTATGGGACAATCCTGCTTTTATTGTTCTTTTATAAGCAGCTTTAAGGTTAGAGAACCTTAACTTGGGCAGGAAATCTACTAATCGTTCAATCATTTATGGAACTAATCATTTCAGACCTGATTGGTGATCGTCTGCCAATTTTTGCTGTTAGATTTTTAATATTAGGTATAAAGGTGAAGTTTCAGCTGCAGAGTTTAATGTAACTAGTATTGACTGACCCACTGCAAGAAAAAAAATTTTGTGTTGGATTTGCGACTAAAACAGTAATAAAAAACGCAAAAGGAGCATACAAAATATCAGAAATAAGTATAAAAGTATTAGCATGTTGATCAGTAGTTTCAATACTATCGTTTATTGACTTAATTTATAAAAATCCACATGGACTAGAGGCCACCCACGGTACTGCAGCCTAAATTGCGTGGAAGGGGTTTCAAATTCTAAATGCTCCAACGCTATTATCAGCCGTCTCTGGTGTTACGGTCTCAGGAGGAGGTGTCGTACCTGTGCTAGGGTCTTTTTTTGGTGTTGTTATGTACACCTTAGTAACTTTTATTCCACCTGCTGAACACTAGTGCATCCTATAAGACCTTTAAATGAATGTGTCTTTAAAATGATAACAGTATTACAGGCCATTTCTGCAGTTTTACATGTGATGTCTACTCTACTTTGATCTGCTGGGGTCTCTGTCTTTCTGGTCTCTCTCCCTGGTGTCTCTCTCGGGTCTCTCTTTGGTCTCTCCGTTATCTTTCTAGTCTCTCTCTCTCTCTGGTCTCTCTCTGGTCTCTTTCTGGTCTCTCTATCTAGTCTCTCTCTGGTCTCTCTCTCTGGTCTCTCTATCTAGTCTCTCTCTGGTCTCTCTCTAGTCTCACTCTGGTCTCTCGTCCTTCTCTCTAGTCTCTCCCCGATCCCTCTCCGGCTTCTCTCTAGTCTCTTTCTCTGGTATCTCTCTAGTCGCTCTCTGGTCTCTTGCCTTCTCTCTGGTCTCTCTCTCTGGTCTCTATCTAGTCTCTATCTAGTCTCTATCTAGTCTCTCTCTGGTCTCTCTCTAGTCTCTCTCTCTCTGGTCTCTCATCCCTCTCTTTAGTCTCTCCCTGATCTCTCTCTGGTCTCTCTCTACAAACCAGGGCATATCAGAATCTATTGTAATTTTTTTTTGCATACTTGACCCAAACTGTAACCACACAATGACACAAAATAACATTGTTCATCTTTCCCGGTGTCAAATGTATCGTTTATCTTCTGAAAACACACGAGGACGGACGGGAACAGGAAAACTCATGGGAAGCTCAGGGTTACGGTTACAGTTACTCAGAGCTGTTGTTTTTCCCGACTTTACTCTCAGTCATAACTTTATCTTCAAAAGTTGCTGCCGTTTCTGTAATTGCGCTGAGCTGCAAAAAGAAGAGAATCAAAATCTGCTTCAGAATTCAGCAAAAAAAAATCTACTTCCTTGTTCTGTTATGTTGACCTTGTTTTTGAGACGTGGCAGCTCCAGTTTAGCTGAAAATTCAATTCACTGTATTTTTGTATTGATCACAGCAGCCGTCGATTTGCCTTCAGCAGATCAGAGAATCAACGAATATAGAGGAGGTAAAATCATAGCAAACATGATATTTATATTTTATTCATATTTACACTGAATTGACGCCATACATTTAGCATCAAAACTTAATTAAACAGGTTTTTGAAACAAGGAAAAACAGTATCTTATGAAAGGTCATTTTTCAGCACAAGGTCTCTCCCTGCTCTCTCTGGTCTCTCTCTCTCTGCTCCCTCTCTGCTCTCTTTCTGCTCTCTCTCTGCTCTCTTTCTGCTCTCTCTCTGGTCTCTCTCTGGTCTCTCTCTCTCTGCTCCCTCTCTGCTCTCTCTGCTCCCTCTCTGCTCTCTCTCTGCTCCCTCTCAGCTCTCTTTCTGCTCTCTCTCTGGTCTCTCTCTGGTCTCTCTCTCTCTGCTCTCTCTCTGCTCCCTGTCTGGTTTTTCT